CACCAGACCACAAGACGCACCTAGTTTTTGGAGGAGGAAAACAAGAAAAAAAAATATTCTGAATCTCAGAAGCCAGAACAGCAAGAGGGATTGCTGCACAGTGAAAGCAGCAATCCCTCTTGCTGTTCTGGCTTCTGGGATAGCTGCGCAGCCTGCATTCGCTCCATAAGATGCACACACATTTCCCCTTACTTTTTAGGATGGAAAAAGTGAGTCTTATAGAGCAAAAAATACGGTACTTAATTCGTTCTGGAGGTCCGTACTTAACCTGAAACTGTTCTTAACCCGAAGCACCACTTTAACTAATGGGGCCTCCCACTCAATTTTTGTTCTCATCCTGAAGCAAAGTTCTTAACCCAGGGTAATATTTCTGGGTTAGCGGAGTCTGTAACCTGAAGCGTATGTAACCCGAGGTACCACTGTAGTTGTTTATTTCCTTGACATCTGCTGGGAGGGCGTTCCACAGGACGGGCGCCACTACCAAGAAGGCCCTCTGTCTGGTTCCCTGCAACCTCACTTCTCACAGGGAGGGAACCGCCAAAAGGCCCTCAGAGCTGGACCTCAGTGTCCGGGATGAACGATGGGGGTGGAGACGCTCCTTTGGTTCAACTGGTGCAAATAGGTTTTTGGACAAAAAGGCAGAGGTGTTTCTCATCGCTTGCGACCATGCTACCTGCCCTTGCTAACTTTTGACAACAGGGCAAGGCAGTGGCCAGAACATGTCACCTCGCAGATGCTTCTCTGAAACAGCACATTATTATTATTATTATTATTCCATTTACAACATAACCAACTTTTCCTCCAAGGAGCTAGAGGTGGCATGCATAGGGCTCCCCATTCTCTCCTCACAACAACCCTGTGAGGTAGGTTAGGTGGAGAGGCAGTGGCTGCCCCAAGGTCACCTGGTGAGCAAGTTTCATGGCTGAGTGGGGATTTGAACCCTAGTCTCCCTAGTCACCATAACCGCTAAGCAGCCTGGAGAAGGCCAGACTGCCTCGGGGGCTTTTGAATGCGCCTTCAGGAGAACAATGCTGATCTGAAGGGGGAAGCTAGGAAGCAGTAAACAGAAATATTGCATCCGCTTTTATTTGTGGTCAATCCAGCACATTTCTTAGCCTGTCCATTGCAACATAAGAGTCATAAGAGTTCAGAGCTGGGTTTCCTTTTAACCTCTGAATGGAGCCTTTCCATTTTAGAAGAAGCACGGGTGAACTCAAAATCTTATAACTTTGGTCTATGAAAACAAACCATTACTACACCCTTAGTGCCTATGCCAAACATGTCTACAGCTTCCCATCATTCACCAGGGCCAAACCCCAGCTTTTTTCCCTCTCAGAAAACTTCTCTCACCAAGCCCTTTCATATTTGCTTGCTTTTCAGAGCGGGTTTAGCAAAGCAAGCAGAATTACCATAATTGCCCTTGAGAAGATCTTCCCCACGGACAGAAAACTGGCCACAGCTCCTAACCTTAGTGGCAGGTCAGGGAGCCTAGCTTTCATCTGTTGGCATCAAACCTTTCTATAAAAGGTAAAGTAACATTCAAAGAAGGTTTGGGGTTTAAAATTTAAAATTTGACTTGTTGCTCTGGTGAATCTATTCCATAACAAAAAAAAGGGGGGGGGAGCCTGGCTTTTGGTTTAATCAGGATCACTTTTTCACTCTAGAAGGGAAGGTTTGGCTTTTTATTTTAAGTGTTGCAGAAGCTTTTTATATCAAGCTTTTTATTTTAAGTGTTGCAGAAATTGACAATTATTTGCACTCCTGTCACTGAAGCAGTGCAATCGCATGAACTCACTTTGTTCTTTAATAAAAATAGCTACCAACCCCCCCCCATAAATAAATTTCCACCTAAAAATTGGGGGGGGGTGTAAACTAACCTGAATAATAACCATATGTGCCAGGCAGACTAGACAATGGGACAAGGTGTGTAAAAGAACAGTACAACACCAAGTTTATCAATTTTTTGTTTTGCTTATTACATTTACATTTGTAGGCGCAACATAAACTATGGGAACAAAACTTTCATTGTGACTTGGCACCAAAAAACAGGTGTTTCCAGTGTCACTTCAGTTTCTGGCTAGATCAATTTCAACTCAGCTACACTAATTTAAAAAAGATGACAGGTGTTAGGTCTCATTGGCATATTAATAGGATCCAAAATGGTTTAAAAGAATACCCTAGTATTTTTGTGTAGGAGCACCAATCTGGCAGACCACCTACGGTACAGTGTGGCTAAAGAAAGGAGAATTATGTAAGGTGACTATGCACAAACATACCTTTGTCTGCTTTACAACAAACTGGATTTTGGGTAAAACATTTACTTGACAGAAAGCTAGAGGGAGCAAGGCACTTGTGTCATTATTTCCTTTCATCTCAATGAGAACCTGGATTTCTGGCAGTGGTCCACATCTTTCTAAGGAAGTTTGGGTAGAAGCAGGGGAAAGTGGGTGCACCTTTCTGACCTCTCAGTCTAATTAAGTCTACCGTTTCATTCTTATCCAACTGTGTTATCTGGTAACACTGGGAGATCTGTGGTGCAGGTCTTCTTTATTTGCAACTTATTTGCATTCATTTCAGTAGACAGCACTTCAAATTCTATGATATTCAGAGCCACGGGAGTTTAAGGAGTGACCTCATTTATACCATTCTAGAATTAAAGCAAACAGCCACCCATAAAGTTCTGCACACTTGGAGGGTGGGGTTCAGATAGCATTTCTTGAATAGAATCCCCTCACCCATGCCACATGGCAAATCTATTTGATGATGAGGAAACTTTTCAAAATTAGCAACGGTGTCAATATGTGCTGTTAAAGGCAAAATCCAAGCCCTTTGGGCATACTTTAAAATAGTTTATTAAATCCTGGGCCCATACTATCATGCTTTGGATTTGTTTATGGTGTTGGAACTTTTTTTTCTCTCCCTCTCCACATGCACCTCATAAATTCCTTACAATATTGACTATCCCTGCTGTTAAGGGGAGGTGTAAAATATATTTTGGTTGTGATCCATAATTAAAGAGAATCATGGTTCGCAGCAATGCCCCTTCCTGAAGCTGACCTATCAACCACTAAACCATAAGCCAGTTTCAAATAAACAGTACTGTCCTTGTTCTCCGTGATATAGCCTTGCAGTGGATGATATAACATTCTCAGCTGTTGCGCATAACATTCTGCATAGCTTGTGCATCATGTCCCCCCATAATTTACAAGGGAGAGGCTCTTTATTTCTTGGCGTTTGAATCCTAAACATAGTGGCTGAGATACTGTTAACTTAAGTACACAGAAGGAAAGATTCCCATTTTTCCTTCCCCCTTTTTTCCTTCCTTTATGGAAGATGGGGAAGGGGTCTACGATGGGGTAGGTGGTAGAGGTCCACTGAGCTCAACTTCTCTCAGCTGCCAATTAGGGTTTGAATGCTGTTGCTTTAACCGGGGCAGAAGTCACATGTTGGATTTCCATCATTTGGATTGCTCTCCCCATCTGTTCTCTAGCCAAGCAAGTATACAGTATTCTAAATCAGGTTTCTCATTCATCAAGAGCATTGATTATTTCAGTGTCAAACTTTTGCATTTCATTTCCAAGTCTCTTGTTATTGTGATTTTGCAGGTCTGGGTCTTGATGTGCCTTATATTATCTCTGCATGCCTTCCTCCATTTTGTTTTTAGGGCAAAAGTATTTCCCACTTCTTTTCATTCCTTTAAACATTTTGAGAGATATCATTACATTAATCAAAATGGGAGGTCTTCAGAGCATGAATCCCTGTGGCCAAGCTATCCCTGTCCAGCAATGGCTAGCAGCAGCGAAACCTGGGCATAAGCACTCCATATTACCAAAGAGCCCTGGCTCCAGTGACTATGTGGTATTGAGGAACAGTCCTAGATAATGTAACTGTTCCTTCAGGGTATGTGCAACTCCATAAAAACAGGTGGTCCCCCAATTCCCAGACCTAGGAAATACCCCACTTCCACATATTGGTGGCATCCAAACTTCAAATTTTCTGATGACCTCATACAGCAGTTTCATATAGAGAGAACGGGACAGAATAGAACCCCGAGGGACCGCATGGATTAGTTTTCATGGGGCTGAATGGAAACCTCCCTATGATACCCTCTGAGACCAGCCCTGCAATTAGGAGCAAGTGCCCTCCACTCTCAACCCACAAAGTTATTTCAATAAGATACTGTGTCTACAGTATCAAAAGCCACCGAGAAAGCCAAGAGAATCAACAAAGTTGCACTCCCCTCTACACTAAACAAGGTAATCAGTCGTGGAAACCAAGGCTGTTTCAGTTCCAAACTAGAGCTCAACACCAAACTAGAATGGATCCAGATAATGATGTCTGGAGCCGACCAGTAGGTGTCATCATTTTATATTTGCCTGACAAAGCTAGTTTGGTTTTCTCAATATTGGATATGCTTCCCCTTGTTCGATTTGCTGGCATGCAGCATTTTGAACAGAACACAGTAGCTTTTCTGGGAACTGTTTTACTTCCCTAATTTTAAAGAATTGCACATTTTATTTCCCTCAAATGCTGGTAACCCTTCCGTAACAGCGCAATAGCATGGCCATTTTGAGTTTGTGCACCAGTAGCTCCTAGTGAGAAATGTGATGTTTTCCAGGTTGGAAGCAATTATTTTATTCATTGACTTGAATAATTTTAGGGATTTAAGGGATAATTATACTTGACTTGTGAACTCTCCAAGCATTCTGATGCTTCCCCCCCCCCCAAAGATGGAGAAATTGGTCCAAAAAGCTCTTTAGGATTCCACGTTGTAACGGCATGATGTAAAGAAGGCTGTGATGCAGCACAGGAGGGATGCTTTTTGGGGGAGGCAGGAAACTAAACCCCAAACTGGTTTCATGGTTCTTTGGCTCCTAGTCTATAGCTCTTTTTTTATTATTATCACAAGCCATCACTGTTTCACCCTGAAATGCTTTGGCTACTTAATTAGCCAGCAAGCTGCTCTAAGTATATTAAAAAAAACAACAGAACACACAGAATAAGATAGTAAGAAATGTATTTTGGCTATACACATTGTTTTATTTTGAAGTCACAATGATACTTGGTAATTTGGGAGAATTTGCATTTATTAGAAAATAAAGAAATTATTTACATGATGGAACAGAACCATTTGAGCACTTTTTGTGGAATGAAAACTTAATGATAACGCAGCAAGATGAACTGCTCAGTCCACGTATTTTCCAAGAATATCACCATCTCTAAATATGAAATAGTCCTGCAAATAAAGAAAACAAATTTGTCCATGTTGAAGATAAACAATTAAGTAGTTCAAAAACTGGAACACTGACGCTCTTCCAACACAGAGATTTATGACATGTCCTTGGATCAGTGCTATACAAATATTAACCCAAGGACAGTTCTTCTACTTCATCATTGCTATTGCTCTGAAAGGGGCTTGAATTCCCCCAGGACAGACTTCAGATGAACTGACTGGAATAGTTTACAGGGGTTCAAAAGAAAATTAAGAGATTCAGCTGGAATTCTTCTATAAAAGACCCATGTACTCTTGAGATTTTAAATCTCACCTAAGGTTTACATACATATACATAAACTTTTAACTTTTCCCCACTTTACATTGGTTTGCAACCTTATTTCTGCAGATGGTTTGGCCCTAAAATAGTACATACAAATGCTATAATTTGTGCAATGGTTGTTATTTTTGAAATGCAGGTCACACACTTAGCAAACTTCTGTTCCAATACAGGCAAGTTAAACCACAAGGAAATTACTGCAGTGACTACAAGGGGCGAGTTTTGCCTGTTCCATACTCAGGTTTCTCCCCAAGGAGGTAAGTCACAAATGTGTTTCATTACTTCTTGGTAACAGGCCTAAAAGCAGTAAAATCTCTTCTCCACCTCCCACAACAAAGGAATGGGGTTGCAGAAAGAGGACAGTGGCTATTCCAGACACAGTTACTTCTGGATGGAGATGAAGGAAAGCAATGAAATGTTTATAGAAGGTAGGCAGAGACTGAGGCAGTGTGCATACATCTCGGAATATAGCATATGGAAACTATTAGGTATATGAGTTAGGTGAGCAGACCACTGAGGTTTCTTGAGAAAGGGCATGAAGATTCTAACAAAATGTATGTGATCTTCCATAAAATTAAGAGAAGCACTGCTTTTGGCTTTGTTTATAAAATAAGAGTTTAAGCAAGTATAAAAGTGGCATACAGAGTATAATATACAGTATAGAAATTTAATTCACATACTAACCTTGTCATCCAGTACAACTTTTGTTCCACCATACTCCGGTAGCAGAACCTTCTCACCAACTTTTACACTAACTGGACGAGTTTCTCCCTCCTTAAGGGGACAAAGAATAGTTACTGACAACGTATGTTACAATGCTCTTAAAAGGTTTTCTGTAGTGGAAATGCAGCTGCAATATTGCATCAGTTGGAGCTTCTGCACCAGGCCCAAGGGCAGCCTCATACCAAGCTCACTGCCCTCATCCAATCTCAGGGCTACTAGTGCATGGTGGTCAAGTGATCCCGATCTATATATGGCTGTAGCTGGCAAACTAAGCAAAGCTGGTAAAAGGCACTCGCAAATCACAGAGGTCACGTGAGTCTCCAACGACAAAGATGTATCTAGGAGTACCCACAAGCTACGTACCGCAACCCCATCCAGAACAGGTTACTGGGACCACCCATCCAGAGAGCATCTTCCCAGGCTTTCAGCAGAAAGGCAAAATATAAATACAGGGCTGTATCAACACTACTGTTCCAGTAGCTTGGCAGACTTCTGCATGCTCAATGTAACTACACACCCTCAAAAACTGCTCCAGGATACACACACCTGGAACAGATTTTGAGGGTACATGCAGAGAGGAAAGGAAAGAGGTGTCCAGTTGTGAAGTACTGGGTGCAACCCATGGTAAGTAAATAAACACCACATAGACCACGGGTGTCAAACAGAAGGCCCGCGGGCCGAATCCGGCCTGCCAGACCTCGTCATGTGGCCTGTGTAGCCGCCGCCGGCTCAAATAGTCTAAGAGCTTGGGGGAAAGAATCATAGTGGTGGTTGAGGAAAGAAGAGGCGTATGATGATGCTGATGTGCAAGTGAGGAAAGGCAGAAAAACAGCTGGGGGAGAAAAGCCTAGGAGAGCAGCAAGCAGATAATCACACCTTGAAATGTTAATTAGAAAGCTGTTGCCACTGTACCACACTGCTCATGATGCTTGATGTAGAGTGGAGAGGTGATTTTGCCTGGAGCACTAAGAAATCTCATGTTTCTTATCTGAAAAGCTATAAAAAGCTTTGATAGGAAAGGTCTGCTTACCTTGCTTTTAGAGCCTGTTCCAATTGCCACAACAGTGGCTTGTAACACTTTTCCTTGTGATTTTTCTGGAATCATAATGCCTCCTTTAGTTACTGTCTCAGCTGCACACCTTTCCACCAATACACGGTCGAAGAGGGGAAGAAATTTTTTAAATGCCTGTCCTGCCTGTTAAAACAAATCACAAGTCATAATGTACCATAAGCAAAATTGTGTCTCTCAGCCACAAGCACATTGTCATCTGAAGCAGCAAACATGTGATTCTACCACTTTTGCACCACAGTGAAAGGAATGGTGGGGAAATAAGGAAAAATCTGGGGGAAAACATAGTTACACATATACAATCCCCATTATGGCCAATGAAGTGTTACACATGTCAGTACATTTTAGGTAAAACAACTTCAAGAAAAAGTTAAATACTTTGTGTAGGTCTTTACACATGATCTTAAGATACATGCTTCCTAATTACTCAGTGACTCCTTTCTACAAATAAAGGACATCATGAATGTTAACCAACACCAAAATTATTGGCATCGCATGCTGTTAAGAAATGAGTCTCACTCCACAGATCTTGTTCAAAGGAAGAATTCTGCAGAAAAAGCTATCTGAAAAAGCCATCTTCCCTAAAAAAGATTACCCACCTTATTTAAATATACCTGGGTGATCTTATTTAAAACAGTATTAACTGCATTGGAATAAATAAGGATGTGACTGGAAGATAGAAATGAAAGGTAGAGAGTTATATTGCTTATGTGTTTCAAATTGGAAGAATAGGCATGCCTGTAGTAACGGCTTTCGGACAACTTCCAAAGCTTTGGTGATTTAGAAACTTACAGATACCACGGAAAATCTACCAATATTCAACTTAGTGTAATAGCTTTATTAGGGCAACCAAATTATATCACAGAAAGGTATGCAAGGCTCATCAATAGGAACCTTAAGTTCAAGTTAAACTAAGCACCACAAGAAAATGTTTAACAGCAAGAAATGTAAATTAACATTCCACAGTGTAAAGCATGTTGAACTTTGGACATTATTAACAGTTTTTTGGGAGGCCATCTACTTGTGCCCACCCACTGGTGCACTGGAAGTTCGCTTGCACAACTGAATACCCCTTCCTCTTGTTCCCTCATAACCCCAATTCTGTTCTGACTTGAGGACTCTGGGGCAGACTTGGAGGGCATGGAGGAAAAGGAAGGGAAATATTCTCATGCAATTTTAGATATTACCCATTAACCAAAACATTTTATCCAATAATGTTTTGATCTGGAAGCATTAAAATAGTAAAGGGTGGACTTCTACTACTTTCTGTAAAAAGCAATGTACAGTATTCCATTTCATATTTAAAAGGAAGCTTTTTGCAAGGCTAGATGCAAAACAAATCCACATTTTTAAGCAGGCAACTATGTATGGGTTAAAGAGCAACTATGTAGGAGTTAATAGAAAACCAGAGAGTGCTAAAATGAAGCTAGCCAGATCACATGATGCTGGCTCACTTTCCCGGCCTTCTCGTGGTTTCCAAAGATATCCAGCATGGACACTTACAGAAACAGCTAGAAACCAGGAGAAGGCCGGGATTATCTGTACTCTTTGGACACTAGAGGTCGCTACCGCAGAAGGAAATTTGAAAGTCTTCTCGAACAAGCTGAGCAAATGGACAATGGAACCAGAGAAGGAATTACCTAAATGTGACCAGCAATTAAAATGTGACCAGCAATTAAAGTATTTCCATTACCTGGGAGCGAGTCCCACTGACTTATTTCCACAGAATCCAATTTCAAGTCTGCAGTCTTCAACTCTGAAGACGAGTGATTAAGAGACTTTAAAACGTCTGAAAACCCATCCTCAATAGTTTATTAAGAGATTTAACATGTATGTCCCTTCCAAGAGTATTCAGCAACAAATATTATTAAGTAAAAATAAAAAAGAGTGTCAGCCACCTATTTGGATATAAGTCAGTAAAGCTTTTGCTAGAAACTTCTCTAGAGTTAGGAATTTACAATACATTGTGCAAAAATACTTGGGACTCTACACAAACTTTGGTTTACATCTTAGTAAGAGCATATTGTCAGCACCAACTCTTTCAACTGGTACCAAATTGCTTTAGATTAGTCCATCATATACCCCACTTTTGGCAATAACAATCCCTGCATGTTCCTACACTATTATGAGCAAGGAGACTGCTACAGAGGAGCAAGTCCCATAGAACTTACTTCTGAGTAGGTATGGTTAGGCTTGTGCTGTAGGGATTTACCTTAAATCAACTAATTTGACCCAAAAAGGATTCATCTCATCTCCCATTATTTTGTCGCTTGCCCAATAATTCCTTTCCTTTGAAGCACTACTGAACCAACAACTATCCACTCTCAGTAACAGTCAACGATTGATACAGCAAAAAAACCTCTTGACTTTGTAATTTGCACTCTTCACCACACAATAGATACAACTTGTTGCAAAGCAGAGGACGTTCCTGTCATTCACTGTCAAGAGATTCAGAAGATAAAAGGATAAGACAATAAGGAAGAATAAAGAGCACATGGAGTTGTCAGAGTTGACTGGTAGTAACCACTCCTTCATATACTGGGGAAGACAGGGTCAAGGAGGCATGTGCAAAAGACTTCCTCCTCACCCCCTCACACCCCTTCAGGACTTGGAAAAGTACGATGGGCTTGAGTCCCTGTACTTCCATGCTGCACGTGTGTACTTTACCAAGGCTTGGAAGGGATCACGAGGGTCAGCTATTCTCACTCCCTGCAATGCAGGAATCTTTTGCCCGAAGTGTTGTTTGAACCCATGACCCTGAGTCTCACGCTCTACGAACTGAGCTACCCCTCTGCACTAACAGCTAAAGCTATGGAGTTACTCTTCCAGGGATTTGCCTCGTCCACCTCCCGCCATCACGCCTTGTGGAGGCGAGTCCATTCATACGTGCATAACGCGGATGCTCCTGCATTGGGTGGGGTGGGGCTAGATGACCCTGGGGAAACCTTCCGCCTCTACAATTCTAGGTAGGCGTCCGCTCTCCCCTGCCCTGGGCTCTGCACTTTTGCACCGGGGCCGCCCCACCCTTCGCCAGCCAGCTGAACCCCACTGGGGGGTCCCCTTCTGCCTATTTTACAGGAGAACACCTTTCATCGTGAAGGGGTGGAGACAGAGACTCAAGAGCTGCATTAATGAGAGGGAGGGGGGAGAAAGAAGAAAATATGGATTATTCTTCCCAACCCTTTGCAAATACTTCTCGAGAGGAAAGCGCGAGCAGCTTACCATGGCGCGCGCTTTACAAGGCCTCCTGCTCCCGCTGCGAGGACTCCTTGCACCCCTGACCGACCCACAGAGCTAGCACGCGCGGAAAGGGTCACGGCCCGCGCGTGCGCAGACCTTGCCCCGGAAATGGCGGGGAAACTACTTCCTGCGGCGGTTAGCTGAGGCGTAGTGGGGGTGGAGGAGAATAGTTGGGATAGGCTTTAAAACTTTTTCGGTTCGCGCTTTCTCATTACTTGCCGCGAACCAGATTTATTAAAAAAAAAACCCACCAGATAAGGTGTTCAGGTTTGTGGGCGTGAGGCGACACTCCCGCCATCTTGAGCGAGGGCGAAGGGGAGCGGAGGTGACGCAACGCCCCGCGCGACCTTTCGCGAGCATGGGCATTCCAGAAAATTCTGGAACCGCGGGGCCCGGGAACCTGCGCAAGGCATAAACGCCCGCGGTGCCTTTTGCGTTTTGAAACCCGTCCAAGCGCAGAGCGCAGGCGCTCCAAGCGAGAGAGCCCCGCCCGCTCAACCCACCCCCGACGTCTCCTGCTCCCGAGGCGAGGATTGGGCGGAGCGCGAGGGTTATGCCGCCAGGCTGGTTCCCGGGTTCCCTTCCGCGCCAACCTCTCACGTGGGCTCTGGAGAGGGGAGGAGGAAGGGGCGGGGCGCCGGAGGAGAGTCGCGAGAGAGCCGCGCTGCTTCCCAGGCTGTGCGCGTGCGGTCCGAGCCGAGCCCGCTGCCGTTGGTACTGCAACCGCTTCCAGCCGCCGCCAAAGAGTAAGCGGGCGGGGGGGGGGCGGCGAAGGAGAGAGGAAAGGAAGAGATTGACCAATGGGAGCGGGGAGGGTCCTGTGCATGAAAACGGGGTTTGCCCTCCCCGCATGGTCGTCTGACCACCCCCCTCCCGGCAGCACGAGGTGGTTTAGTCCCCATAGGGGAAAGAGTAGATGGGATCAGGGAACTCCTTATTGGGGGGGGGGGATGGCGGCGGCGACGCGTGTCTCAGTCCTTGATTTTATAGAGGGGTAGCGGGAGAGAAGAGCCCATTTATGAGGGGGAAGAAGCGGCCTTTGCAGCAGCCACGCCAAGCCTCTCCTTCAGGCCGAGCGCCTTTCTTCTCGCCGCTCCCTTGTGTGAATGCGTTCACACGTGTGTTGGGAGATTGGGGGGGGCGGGACCTGCGAGTCTTCCATGCCGAGGTCCGATCTCCGCTTAGGCTGAGCCTCCCTAAATCACAGCCTTGCTAGGCTCTCGCGATCGCTTGGCCCTGTTTTGCGTGGGGACGCGGGCAGAGGCTGCTTGGGACCCTGGCACGTGCTCTGGCGCCCCTCTGCGACTTCCCTGGGGAAGCTGCTGCGGAAGGAGACCTTTCCGCGTTTTTTCCTCCATGTTAAAGGTGGGGCAGCTCCCCTCTCTTTCCCACCCCCACCTCCGCCCTGGGGGGGGGGGAGGTGGGCCAAAGTCAGCCTTCCCCTTGCATTGCAGCGCTGCCCTCCTGGCGGCAGGGGGAGGCCTGGGTCCGCATGACCTTGTGTGCCGACCTGATGGTAGGAAGGAGCACGTGCGGGGGGCAAAGGATACGCTGGGCTTGTTCATTGAACTTTCTTCTTACCTGTTTTCTCCTCCTGAGGCCTCTTTCCTCTCTCCCACACATTCCATCCCACTCCACCTCCCCGTTTTCTTTCATCGGCTTTTCCTTGATGACCTGAGCAGTTTCCCTATCTCCATTATTCCTGGTATTTGGTTAGTTCAGATTTGTAGCTCCCTCGGCTCCTTTGCATTGAAACTTAACGTCAAGGTAACTAATTGGAATCAATAGGTTACCCCTTCCGATTTTTAGGACCGTAGAGTTGGAAGCGTCCCTGTGGATCATCTAGACTAATGCCCTGAAAAAAGCTGGGATATGCAGCTGTTCTGTATGGGGATCAGACCTGCAAGATTGACATTTTCAAAACCAACTGAGCTATCTAGATATGCCCCATTAAACAAGCGTTTGCTCAGTAGTTCTGATCATGTGTATATGTTCTAAAACGCACATGCATTCTGTTGAACTGAAATCAGTGCTGAAATTATATAATACTTTCTCCCTCAGGATAAATATGTATGCCAGGGTTGTGAAACGTGGTTCCCTCCTGTTGTTACGCTCCTAACATTCATCAACTGCATCAACTGGGCAGTGGTTAAGGAGCAGTAGTCCAGCAATATCTGGAGGGCCTTAAGTGTCCTATGCTAGCGTACAGGGTTAATTGGTGTTAGCACATAAAATAATAGAACTTTAGAGTTGGGAGGAACCCCGAGGGTCATCTAGTCCAACCCCCTGCAAGCAGGAATCCTGCCCACAGCTGTCCCTAGGTGGGCTTGACACCTTCTGGTTAACAGTCATTGTGCCACCTGAGGGACCTTCAAATGAGCAACCCGTATGGGTACATATTGCTGCGTTGCAGGGGCTTGGACCAGGTCAGGCATAGGCAAACTTGGCCCTCCAGATGTTTTGGGACTACAACCCCCATCATCCCTAGCTAACAGGACCAGTGGTCAGGGATGATGGGAATTGTAGTCCCAGAGCATCTGGTGGTGCCTCGCAAGACGAAATTAATCCGTTCCGCGAGTCTCTTTGTCTTGCGGTTTTTTCGTCTTGCGAAGCACGGCTATTAACGGCTTAGCGGCTTTAAGAAAAAGGAAACAAACTCGCAAGAACTCGCAATACGTTTCGTCTTGCAAAGCAAGCCCATAGGGAAATTCGTCTTGCGGAACGACTCAAAAAACAGAAAACTCTTTCGTCTAGCGAGTTTTTCGTCTAGCGAGGCATTCGTCTTGCGGGGCACCACTGTAATTCAGTTGCCATTTTTCAAAAGGCAGTGCTTGCATTCAGACGACTTCAGCCACTTTGTGTACCTTCAAGCAATGGTCGCGATTGAGCTCATGGCTACAGGCATGGAATGCTCTCTAGCACGTGACAGATAAAGCAGTGGTTGTGTTGGCACTGATTTCTTTTAAAATTTCATTCGTTTGCAGAAATGCTCCGTTTACCAACAGTGCTGCGTCAGATAAGGCCGGTGTCCAGAGCACTGGCCCCGCACCTTACGAGATCCTATGCAAAAGAAGTTAAATTTGGAGCAGATGCTAGAGCTCTTATGTTGCAGGGCGTTGACCTTCTCGCTGATGCTGTGGCCGTCACCTTGGGACCCAAGGTACTGAAATGGCTTTACTTGCTGTTATGTGGAAGCTTGTGCTGAAGGGATGAGCATAGTCCAAAATATATCCTACATGCTTGGGGTACGATCCAGTCAAAATTAAGAGCTTTGGGGTCTGACTGGTTTTTCAGTGAGAGAGGTGAGCATGTGCTTAAATAACCTTCCAATGGAATCATTGGGGCTTAAAAGTGCTTCACTTTGACTGGACCTTGTCCTTTGGGTCCTCTTTAAAATGGTTTGCTAGAGCATTCCTGTAAATTTATTGCCACTGGCATACATACTTAACACAAATTAGAATTTGTTGCCTGGCAAGTAGATGAATGAGATAGTTGGGACATGTTCTTTCATGCATTCTCTCACTTTGTTATTCCTTTGAGCTAAAATCCTCAAAGGTTTCAAGTCTACATGGCAGCTGCATATATAGCTAGTTTGAGAGAGGCAGAATGCATTACACATTTGCTCTCCTTTTTGCCTTAATGGTGGCTAGACCTTCAGGCAGGACAAAGGGCATCAAGAGGTGTGTGCACAAGGCGGCCTTCATCTGAATTTCTTTTGGGCTTCTAAGGCCAGCCAGGGGAAGCAGCAGCAGGGAGTCTCGCTAAGTATTCTAGATGGAACCTTACAATATGCTACAGACATGAATCTTTAGTAATACGTAAAGTATCTCAGTTAACCATTAACAATCCCAAAGCTCTGTCCATCTTCATTGCAAACACTCACTGCTCTTCAGTCACATGCTCTTCCTGCCTCTCCTGCTCCCTAGTTTTCTACACCTGTGTAACACATTCCTCTGCTCCTTTGTAGTCGCACCATTGTTCACGTATAGCAGTCCATAAATGTGCACATCACTGGTAAAATGTGCTTAAAGTGAGCAAAAGTCCCAACAGTACTCTGGACAGTTGCTATCCTTGACCTCACACTGAACAGAGAGGCTCAGGAAAAAAACTGGTGATATTTCTTTGGTGAGCTTTTTGGCTCAGCGCAAAGTTAGAAAGTTTCCCACAGCCCAACTGTGCCATACAATACCTTAGTCAAGCAAGACCTTGTTCCTCAAAGAGTGTCATTGCCAGCAGTGGGCAGAAAGTTTAGCTGGTTACCAAGGCTAATTGGAATTGATGGACCCTCGTTTTAAGCGGTTCCTCTGATGTCCTCAGAGCTGGTCATTTTTTTAATTTTTTACTAATCTGATAAATATGACAAGGTGATTTGCAGACAAATTCTTAGAAAAAGTTAAAATAAGATACAAGAACAACAGAGTTTAGATATAAAAGCCACACGATAACGAACAACTAATTTACATTTTGTATTATCTATACCAGCAGTTTAAATGGAACTGTTCCTTTACATTCACATTATCTGTGCCCACACTTCCTTACGTAAGATATTGCTGCTGCTGCTTCTCCAACATTCATTGTGGTTCCAAATGCACCATGTGTACGGATAAATAAATGTTATATATTGCTTTATAAATATCACAAAATATGCCCCTACAGGCGTTGCAGCCGTGGCTGATGTGCTACTGTTGTGTCAATAGGTGGCAGAGAGGAACAAGCTATGTCTACGCTCAGTGTTCTGCAACCCGTGAGCACTCAGAATGATTAGTAGCTTGACAGGTGTCCCATAAATAAATATCATACATTGAAGTTTTACAAGGGTCCTGTTAGAGCCAAAAAATTGTGCTTATGTAGCAGCATGTCCGTCCCACTCGCATGAGCACTAGCTATCCCCATATCTGTTCTAAAAGGTAGAGGGAGCCCCTAAAACAGATTTATTTTTGGGGGGGGGGAGTTCCATTGTTCAAGTGTAAATACTTCATTCAACATTAGTTGAATGCCTGCTAAAAATATTTTTGTATGTACGTAAAACCTGAAGTTCAGAGCTGAAGTTCCATGTGTATACCAAGCATCTGGACATAGCTCTCTGCTTACTAAGGGATCATCTGCTGGTGGAAAAGTCTGTAAATGTTAGCCAAAGCCAGATTGTGCATCAACACTGCAAGCCACACAACACATAGTTAAACTAGTGGAACTTGCTGCTGCAGGAAGCAGTGATGACCACCAATTCAGATGGCTTTAAAAGAGGGGTGGACAAATTCATGGGGGAAGAAGGCTATTAATGGCTGCTACCCCCAGTGGTTCTGCTTTGCTACCACTGCTGGAGGTCACAGTGCTTCCAAATACCAGTTGCCGCAAACAACAGGAAGGGAGAGTACTCTTGTGTTCAGATGCTTATGGGCCTTCCACAGGCAACTGGTTGGCCACTGGGGGAACAGGATGGTTGGCTAGATGGGCCGTTGACCTGATCAAGCAAGCTCTTCTAATCTTCTATAATCATGTCATCAAGGGACATGGAAAAGAGTTAAGAGCCTCGGACAGAAGATCACCAGGTTGATGGACCATATGGAATTGATAGAAAGGGCTGGCAGAATCCGAGACCAGGGAGAAGAGACGGTGGAAGAAGACTGGAAAAAAGTTTAAAATTTATTTATAGAAACATTGTAAAATTAATGAGTGTTAGAAAAATGTTGGAATGAAATTACACGGTTTTAGTAGAAATGTTATAAGGAGTTAAGTACAAATAAGTTTTAGGGTATTAATGGTAAGATAAGGTTAAAATAAATTAAGACAATTATATGACAGAAAACAGTGAAAGATGGAAAGGATTTGCTGAAATAATTAATAATTAGAACACAAAACAGGGAGGTGTGAGGAGGTCGATGAAACAAGTTAATGAAAGACAAAGATACGGAAATATTGGATGTGTTTTTAATTGTTTTTGTTTTTGCTTTTGTTTTGATGTATTGTGTTTTTTGTTTTGATGTATTGTAATGTACTGATTTCTATTGTTTATTTTCTTTCTTTTTTCCTTCTTTCTGTAATCTTTAAACTTTTAATAAATATTATTTTTTTTAAAAAAAAAAACTTCTATAATCATGACATTGTAGAGTTCAGAGGGTCCTCTAGTCCAACCCCTGCTATGCAGAAATCTTGCCTGAAGCATCCATGACAGATGGCCATCCAATCTCTGCTTTAAAATCTCCAAGGAAGGAGAGTCCACCATCTTTCAAGGGGGTCTTTTGCACTGTTTGCACTTCTGCATATCTGCCTTCCTGGAAGCGTTGCGGCTTCCAGCCTCAGGAAGAAATTACCCTAGTAATCCAGTGTTTCATTGTGCGTGTGTGTGTCATGTTTTTACAGGGGAGAACAGTAATTATTGAACAGAGCTGGGGAAGCCCTAAGGTGACGAAAGATGGCGTGACAGTAGCCAAGTCAATTGACTTGAAGGACAAGTACAAAAACATTGGAGCCAAGTTAGTTCAGGATGTTGCCAACAATACCAATGAAGAGGCAGGAGACGGTACTACGACCGCAACGGTACTGGCACGTTCGATTGCCAGGGAGGGGTTTGAAATGATCAGTAAAGGAGCAAATCCAGTGGAGATCAGGAGAGGTAATGATGTGGATAACGTTGGCTCAGACCTGCCAATTCCTCTAGTTATCTTCCTTGTTTATCTTGGAATTTGTTTTCAAATTACAGTGGTACCTCGGGTTAAGTACTTAATTCGTTCCGGAGGTCCGTACTTAACCTGGAACTGTTCTTAACCTGAAGCACCACTTTAGTTAATGGGGCTGTCACCGCACTGCCGGAGCACAATTTCTGTTCTCATCCTGAAGCAAAGTTCTTAACCTCAAGCACTATTTCTGTGTTAGAGGAGTCTGTAACCTGAAGCGTATGTAACCCGAGGTACCACTGTATGTACCAATGTTGCAGAAACATTACAAGGTGCTACTTTCGTGAAAAGAAAATGGGAAGTGGGGTGTCTATAATTTTCTGGTCATAGATATGCGTACATCCCTTCCTCGTACGCAGGTGTCCAGCGACCCACATCCAGTGGAGCTGTGGGCATGCTATTAGCGTTAGCTGAGTATCAGCAGGAAGTGAGTGTAGGTATTTGGCATTGCAAAAGCTTCTTTATTTACAGCAGATCAAAACAACAAACATGATTGAATGTGAGCAGCAGCTTCACACACGTCTCCTCTGTCCGAAAGCAGAGAACAAAGAGAGAAAGTACAAAAGCACATAGAACGGAAGTACGGTGTCTGAGTTCTGTTCCCACACTCCTATCACTATAGAATGTGGATCATGAGATCCAACAGCAATGAAAGAATGAAATTACTAACAATATATTGTGACCCCTGTTAAAGCACATTGGTCAGTGAATTTTTGTATATTGTTTCTGGTTACCGCTTACGTTACGTGTTGTTTACCGAGCGTAATGGTACCTGGGCCTTTATCGGTCTTTTATAAAAGAGGCACATAAAATGCTTTTGTGGTCTTCTTAAAAGCATGAAACAAGTGTGTTGAGGATTAAGACCCTGAAAGTCTGACTGCATGGCAGGGTAGGAGGGACAGTTACTGCCCAAAATGAGTAGCGCATGCCCGCAGATAGGCAGTCTTAATAAGCAAATTGCATCTTCAGCTTACCTCCTATCTCTGCCTTGTGTTGTCTGGCACTATGAAAGTTGCATTTTTGGTTCTGCCTCCTCTTGCCTTTTTAAGGCAGAGACAGATTCGAGTGAACCTGCATGGCATCAGATTGGTGTTTCCCTAGCTGGTGAAAAGCCCTTGATGCTGGAGGTGGAGGTAACCAATGGCACAATGCGCTGTGTTTTCCTAGGTGAAGAACCCCTCCTAGTGAATGCTTTTTTGGGGAGAAATTCATGATGCAGGGAAGAGGAAGAGGCAGCTCTGTGACATGTGTGGACCCTATCTTCCTGGTGTTTAATGTGATAACTGCATCCCAGCAGTCAGGGATAATGCATTGTATGATCATTTATAGCCTTTGTGTTGCTCTTGGAGCATAGTACGATGGTGAAGTTTTGTTTGCTGTTGACTGTGTAGACTGTTTAATTGCATAGCTGTACCGTGTTCCCTCAGGGGTGATGCTTGCTGTAGATGCTGTAATTGAGGAATTGAAGAAGTTGTCCAAACCAGTCACAACTCCAGAGGAAATTGCTCAGGTAAATGCTATCTCTTTCGTAAAACAAACATCTTCCTTCTCCCTGCTACTTTTATACCGTGTAGGTGCACCGTTTAAGAGGGCTTGCTAAATGTAATATTTCACTCCTTTAACAATATTGTATCTGTGAGAAAATGTTCTAGGCGCTATTCCTTAAATTTGCGTTAGTAATGCCTCTTTGACTATGCTTTCAATACTCCAGCCTCTTTTTTTTTATTTTTTTAAAGGTAGTATTTGTAGCTAGTTCACGCAGACCTCTCTCTTTTTGTTGTACAGGTTGCTACAATATCTGCAAATGGCGACAAGGAAATTGGCAACATAATCTCTGATGCCATGAAAAAAGTTGGACGAAAAGGTGTTATCACAGTTAAGGTAAGGGTAACTCTAGTAAGGTCTACTTATTGTATGCCAAAATAGGATACTAGCTCAATGTTGAGGAAAAGACCTCATCATTGTAGAAAAAGTGCAACATTATGGGGGAGACAAAGATCTAAAACAGAAAATGAAGCAGCTTGTTATGAGATAGGTTGTGCACACAGGGTGCAGCTAATTTCCATGACCTTTTTTAAAAAAAACAGGACGGAAAAACTTTGAATGATGAATTAGAAATTATTGAAGGCATGAAGTTTGATAGAGGCTACATCTCTCCCTACTTCATTAATACAGCCAAAGGTAAGTTAGAACAAGACTCACACTGCTCGTTTGCCTTAACAGCTTGGTTCTGTTGGAATAGACTAAACGCAGTTTTAAAAAAAATCTTAGTAATGTGTTCCTTTTTGCCTCAAAATAGAGGTGTCTGCAAATATTAGAACCCACTCCCTAATTTACAGAATTAGATCTGTGGCACAAGTTGTGCCATCTTTTCTGGCATGTGATGTAGTTTGTACATACGGGTAAACACGCAGGGAAAGGTGAGAGCTCCCCATGCCACTTGTCAGGAACGTAATCTCACAATCCAAACCTTAATGAAGCTCTTAGGGTTCCTGATGGAATACCCTAGGTACGTAACACGTGTTTGCCCTTTTGTGTGCCGTTGCTGACGAAGCTGCCTCACAAATTATAGGTGCTGGAACTCTCATGCTTGCATTTTATTTGCGTACTTGTGAGGAGGCAAATTTGGGTACAGGCAAAAAAAAAAAGAAAAAAAAGATTGCTACTAAAATACGTAAAAAATGGAATCCAGCTTTAATCTTTCCCACAAGTAACAAATTATATTTCTCCCAAGCTTCCTTCATTTCAAGCAGCCTAATTTAGAAGGAAGTTGAAAAAGCTTGTTTTGTTTTGACCGTTACACCATTGTTAAAAATTTGCAAGCCAGAAATCTTTGATCTGTTGCAGATCACAGAGAGATCTACCAGTAGATCCTGATCTACCTTCTGCCCATCCCTGAATTAAACTGAAATACTGTATGTTACTGGTTTCAGGTAAACAAAACCAGTAACATACAAAATTATGCAAGAATTAATAGTCCTGTTTTTGCATGTCCTTTGGTAGCATTTTAACAGCACCAAGTTCAAAGAAAAGTTGTATGTTAGAGACCATTGAAAGTCTGCTGTAATTGGGCATGTTTTTTGAAGCATTTCAAAGAAGGTGGCTGCATAATGGCTATGATAGGATTAGAAACTGAGGAATGTTAATAGTCACTATCTCTTGAGATAGTATTTTGTAATTTATTTCAATAACGTTGCTTTCATCTGTAGGACAGAAATGTGAATTCCAAGATGCTTACGTGTTAATCAGTGAAAAGAAGATTTCTAGTGTTCAGTCCATAGTACCAGCTCTTGAAATTGCCAATAATCACCGCAAGCCTTTAGTTATTATTGCTGAAGATGTTGATGGAGAGGCCCTCAGTACCCTTGTATTAAACAGGTAGGCGTGGAACAAGTATCTGTCTTTATTTTTAACACTTTTGAGTTTAATCCATTTGATCTTCCTTAGTAATCTTGCTGCAGAAAGGGGTAACTGTTGCAGGGTAGGGCAAAAATCTTGGCTATAATTAGATAAAACCTTTTTTTTTTCAGGTATTGTCTGGTCCAAGAAATTGTACACTTTATAGCCAGATCATAAAGGAAATAAGCCTTATTGATTGAAGTAGAAAGTCCATAAAAGAATACTTAGCATTGCAGATCTAGTGGGCTTAAACTATGTGGGGGGGGGGAGAAGTTCATCAGTACAGTGGTACCTTGGGTTACAGACGCTTCAGGTTAAAGACTCCACTAACCCAGAAATAGTACCTCCGGTTAAGAACTTTGCTTCAGGATGAGAACAGAAATCGTGTGGCAGCAGCGGCGGGAGACCCCATTAAATAAAGTGGTACCTCAGGTTAAGAACAGTTTCAGGTTAAGAACAGACCTACAGAACGAATTAAGTTCTTAACCCGAGGTACCACTGTAGTCTTCAGCCTTTAATATGAAAACAAATTTAAATCCTGACAAATAAACAAACAATGAATAGGAGATCACTTTCACTGATTTTCGGTTGAGTTTTCCGTGTTGCCAACTATGGAGAGCCTTATTTTACGAGAACACAGTTGTACCATTTCGGAATAAAGACGTGAACAACTAATAACTCTTGAGTGCTGACTTTCTCTCCTTTTTTTTCCAGACTGAAGGTTGGCCTACAGGTTGTTGCCGTGAAAGCACCCGGTTTTGGTGACAATAGAAAAAATCAGCTTAAAGATATGGCAGTTGCTACCGGCGGTGCTGTAAGTAAATTTTCATATGTATCTTAAGTATTAACCCTAAATAATTAGCATGGAATACTCGTTTACCAATTTTTTGCAGAGCCATAACTGAGTATATGTACTTTTCTAACAAAAGACGTTGGATGTTAATTCAGATTGCCATAGGAACATGGGAACTTTATACAAAGACAGGCCATTGGGCCGCCTAACTCAGTAGTCTTCCTAGTCTTAAGAACTCCAACCAACCATCAACCAACAGATGTTTGGGAGATGTTTTCCTGGGGTTCAGGCAGGAATCTTTCCTCTTTTTGCCTAAAGATGTCAAGAGTTGAACCTGACACCTTTTGCATACAAAGCACGTGCTCTACAACTGAGCTACAGATGTGTGCCAGTTTAAAGAAAGCACCACACACTGATCAGTTGAGTGAGGCCTAAGCCATTCTATGCCCTGTTTACCGTTGCATACATCATTGGTTGTTCAGTGCTGAACATAGCCCTTCTTTCCAGTCATAAAAGATTTGCTTAGAAAATAGATAACATTGCCAGTGTAAGCTCTGTGCATTAAGAAACCAATTCAGAATGTGAATGTAACAGGCGGAGACATTTGTAGTGGTTGAACCCAGGTTGCGAGTCCAAATCTGATTCAGCCATGGAACTTGCTGGGTGACTTTGAACCACTTGCTGTCTCTCAGTCTAACCTACCTCAAGGTGCTTGTGGGGATAAGATGCTGAGAGCAAGAGCTTTGTATGCAGCGTTGAGGTCCCTGAAGGAACAGTGGGGCATTACCATAGAAGTAAATAAAATAAATCAACCAATTTTTGCAAATGTCCAGGAAGCTGTTACTTCCTGTAGGTCACTTTGCAATTACAAGTACAGAAAATCTAGGTGAAGAATTAAGAGTGTTAATAAGCCCATTCACTGAATTTAGTGGGGCTTTCTGTAGTGAGTGTGTTTAGGATTGCATTCCCAATGAAGCTGTCCAAATGAAACCAGCTAATCAGTAATTTGAAAAAAGCCGTGGACTTTTTAAAGTATTTAATATTAATCTGTTTCAGGTGTTTGGGGAAGAAGGCTTGACCATAAACGTAGAAGACATTCAACCTCATGACTTTGGTAAAGTTGGAGAAGTCATTGTGACGAAAGATGACTGTTTGCTACTTAAAGGGAAAGGTGACAAAGTACAAATTGAAAAGCGCATTCAGGAAATAGTTGAACAACTGGAGGTTACAACAAGTGAATACGAGAAGGAGAAACTCAATGAACGCCTGGCCAAACTTTCTGACGGAGTAGCTGTACTAAAGGTGAATCTTCGTATTACTATTTTATTTTTATTATTTATTTATTTATTTATTTACTACTACTTTTATTTGTTGCTTATTGCATAAAATTATTTTACTATTATATACTACCTTGGAAGTCAAAATGAATCGGTTCTGGAAGTCTGTTCGACTTCCAAAACGTTCTAAAATCAAAACGTGGCTTCTGATTGGCTGCAGGAAGGTCCTGCAGCCAATCAGAAGCCATGGAAGGCCTGTCGGACTTTTGGGTTCCAAAAGAACGTTCGCAAACCGGAACAATCACTTCTGAGTTTGCGGCATTCGGGAGCCAAAACGTACGAATTCCAGGGCGTTCGACAGTCAAGGTACGACTATACCGCCCTTCACTCAAGGACCACAGGGCGAGATCACCACAGTGACATTCACCGAAAGTAGATCACTGCACAACGATAGCCTTTTCCCCTGCAGGTGCAAGTAGCGCTCTCTAGGCTATAAAGTGAGAATAGGAAGCCAGTGGCCCTCCAGATGATGGTAGATTCTGACCCGCATCAGCCCCAGCTACCCTGGCCAGAATGAAGAGTTTTCCCTCATTCCCTAGGGAAGGCCATAGATCATTCACCTTCCCCTGCTATAGAGCTGTCTTTGTGAAATAACTTTCAGATTAGAGCTCAGAACAGCAGCCTTAAAATAAGATTTCTTTTCTTAGGTTGGAGGAACGAGTGACGTTGAGGTGAATGAGAAGAAGGACAGAGTCACGGATGCCCTCAATGCCACTCGTGCTGCCGTAGAGGAAGGCATCGTTCTAGGAGGCGGCTGTGCGCTGCTTCGGTGCATTCCAGCACTAGATACTTTGACTCCAGCCAATGAAGATCAGAAAATTGGTAGGTGCACTATACATGCTTTAAAGAAATGAAAGTAACAGTTAAGAGCTTGGATCCTGATAAAAACTAACATGAGGTTCCCCAGTACCTTCTCCCTCCCTCAGTAGTTCCTTGCATAGAAACCTTGGTTCCTTGGGAGCATTTAACAGCCTTTCTTGGGGGGTGCAGACAGTTGAGTGGGCAGGAAACTCCTTTGGCTAACCTGCCTTTGAATTGCTCCTATTGGCTATGTTGGTGGGTGTTGGGAGTCCCTATATCTGGATGCCCTCAAGGTCGTCATCCCTTAGAGCAGGGACTGGGAACCTCAGGCTCAGGGGCTGAATATTTCAATTTTAAGGATGCTTCTTGCTTGCCTGGGTAGAAAATGGGGGGGGGGTGTTGAAACTGGCCTACCATTAGATAAAAATTTTATTTACTGCTCTGTCCATCACTGGCATATGTCCAAAAGGTTTCCCCAACCCTGATGTGGGAGGTGTTAAGATTTTTGAAAGGAACAAAAGGTCTGCTTGTTCTTGCAGTCTTCTGGCAAGCGTATGCGCAGGATAGAGAGGGTTGCTATAATCTTTGTTGGCTCCCTTGCTGGTAATGGGATTTCAAATGTACCCATTCTGTTGCCGAGACTAGTTTCTGCTAACATCACTTACCTTTTCCTTTAAGGTATCGAAATTATCAAGAGAACACTGAAAATTCCAGCAATGACTATTGCCAAAAATGCAGGTGTTGAAGGATCGCTGATAGTTGAGAAAATCATGCAAAGCGCAGCCGATGTTGGCTACGATGCCATGCTTGGCGAGTTCGTAAACATGGTAGAGAAAGGCATCATTGATCCAACGAAGGTAAGTTCTCTTTATTTCCCAACGGGCCTATCATCTCAACACAATAGATAACGAGCTGTACAAGTGTCTCACTGAAATATATCTTAAACTTCTTTTTTTAGGTTGTAAGGACAGCCTTGATGGATGCAGCAGGTGTTGCTTCCCTTCTGTCTACAGCTGAAGCCGTAGTAACGGAAATTCCTAAAGAGGAGAAGGAAGCTGCCATGGGAGGCATGGGGGCTGGCATGGGAGGTGGTGGCATGTTCTAATGCTCAGCTACAGGGATGTCCCATCATGGAACTACAGTGAGTGACCTGACAGTTTTAAGTAAAACTTCAGGTCAGGGTGAAACAGGATGGATAGTGACTGCAGAAGGCCCTGCGTTTGAAGAATCACTGTAACAATAGTTACTGGGTTTCAGTTTAGACATGCATAATCGTTTACAGTCATTGTCCATGCCTACAGATAATTTATTTTGTACTTTGAATAAAGACATTTGTACATTCCTGATACTGGGTGGAAGATCCGTGTACTAATGCTGTGCTCTAAACAGTTCAAGCACTTGCCGTTCTGTTAAAATCAGACTTTTATTGGTGCTTGCTATCACTAGGACATGCAGAAGCCATTGTGTGCAAGACTGAATAAAATTGTGTACAAAGTAGACAAATATACAATTATGTGACAACTTTATGTAATAAAAGATTGCTCAAAAAGGTATGAAATGTATTCACTTATTCACAACTCAATCCTGTTTTGTATCGGGTATGTGAGCCTGAAAACATTTCTTGGAGTACAGAGCCAGATGCCAATCATCCTTAAACCTTTTTTTTTCTTCTAGGAATGGGAGAAACGTTAGCCTTAATAGCTCCTTTGCCATCAGCTCTATTAATTTTTGCGGATTTGCTCAAATTTGGAGGGCCCAAGGTTGTACTCCTTGTTCTTGCTCAAGATTAAGAGCTATTAAAGTTTAGGCAGCTACAGTCTTTGCTTTATTACTTTAAATTTGTGCAACCCAGTGTATTTAGCATCACTCAGGATAAAATGCCACGGCTTCTCTTGATTATGATGCCTAAACTTTAAAGACTCTTCCTAGTTAAAGGTAGTAATCTTGAAGCCATTTTAGGAATCTGTTGAAAAGGATACATTTAGCCGCACAACCAATTATACAACTTTGGAAAATGACAAAATTCAGTGCTAGCTGTAGAGAGGATTGCCCAAAAACTTGCTTTAGTCTAGACAAAGGGAATAGTATGTTTTTATCCTAGCAAAGTTGTACTGTAATATACAAACAGATCTGTGAAACTCAAGTCACTTTAAAGTTTGAATTCATGACTCCTTACAGATTTACCTGCTAGAATCTTGTGAAAGCACTTGACAATGTCTTTTTAATCAATGTTTATTGATTAAAAGAGCCCTTTATATATTCATTCCACTTACACACTAAACATTCCCTACTAAGTATAGTTACACATACTGAGAAATTTGTTCTCAGAATTATATGTGCTAATTTAAAGCTTTTCCTGAATAGCAAAAATAACTTAAATATGCATTTGAAAGACTAATAACTTAAAACTTGATTCCAATAGTAAATATTAGAAACACTGCAAAACATTAGGCAGCAGACAGTGCTGAGTTTCATAAAAACTGGCAAGAGGAAGAAGGCAATTTTGGTGTAGTTTATAGCTGCCACTCTTTATCAGCACCTTATAATTGCACTTGATTGAAGCTTTATATTATATACATCTGCATCTTACAGGCCTGTGTTGTACAGTAGTATTATACATAATTTTCAAATTCCCATGTAACTAGAAGCCCGCATGGGAGAACACTTCACGTTAAAACACGATGTCCAAGTAGTTTAACACGACTTCCCCCCCTTTTATGTGTGATGCACTTCGTGAAGCATTAGCTCTCGAGGTATGATTGTTTCTGGACCGTACAACTTGGATGCTCTTCTTTCAAATGCTGCAACCATCTGCTTAACGACTTCATCGAAGAACAGTGTGGCAAGCTGAGAATGTAGAAGGGAACGAAACTCAAAAGAAATCTGTTAAAACAAAGGTAAGTTGTGTCAGTCACTCACAAAAAGATGGCTAGGCCCATTCTTTCCTGCATCCATTTCAGCAAAGGACCAAAGAACTTTGTTGGATATATTCAAGGCAATTATGGAATCATAGTAAGTTCCTCTGGGTATTTTCCTCTTGGCTGCATCTTCTCATGATAGCCTCCCTCAGCTTGCAGCTAACGAAACCCCCTTGTACAGAAAAGGTTTTAGCTGTAGCTCTTTGCATTTTGCTTTCCACTTATGCCTTTTCAGTGCATTTTGAATTTAGGTGCTAACAGCCACATACCAATGTAAACACGAAACATTTCAGTGTGGAGTACGTTTCTCTTTTTGTTTGATTTTCTGTAGTTGGGCAGTCTTCTGAGTTTCCCTCGGGTCTCCTAATTTTTGTGGATGGCATTTCACTTGCATAAGCATCACCACTTAGAGCTGAATTTCATTAATAAAAGAATTTATATAGGCTGAAATTTTAAGATCTGACGAAAGAAAACTGCTGCGCACCACCTTTCTGCTGATACAGGAATTAAACCGGTCACTCTTTCAATAAATGAAACAAAAGCAATTCCACTACTGCCACTGTCATGTTACAACACGTGGTTGCAACCAAAACTACACATTAAGGATATGTGTGAAGTTACTGAGAATGTATGCCTATTAAGGACATGACTCTTAAAGAAGTGAGAGGTCCAGGGGGTCTTTAGGCACCAGGCAAAATGTTCCACTGTAATCAGGCCTTTGGCCTTTAGATATCTGGCCTTTAAGAAGTGGGTGGGATGCTTTGAATTATATATTTTCCTCTTGGTTTTAATCTGGGTTAATAAATAAAATCAAGCTGTTTATAAGCTGCTCTGAGTGCAGGGTATGCACCTTACAAACCTATGCAGATGTAACACAGGTTGGAAAAGGGATCGTGGAGATCTGAAATTGGGCTCTACACAGCCCCATGGGTTTGGCCAGATCCATTAGATCATTACTATTTATAATTAATGACAATGCAGATCAGATCTCCAAGGAGGCCAATTCCATAAGGATATCCACCATGTGCGCAGTTAGGTGGAATGGGCTGGGTTGATCCCATTCCCATGCAGATACAGTCCTATCTTGTCTTCAGCAGAGTTTGCTGTTATCTACTGCCTCTTCAGTCAGTCATGACAAAATCAAATTGAAAACAATGAAACATTAATTAGTAAGCTTTCAAGAGGTTTAGTTACTGTATTCGGGCATAATCCTAAACTATAGCAAAGAAAATATTTTAAAAGTGGAATCCCCCAAAAGGGGGGGGGAGTTAATTTGAAAGCTTTTGGCTAGAAATCCCTTAGCACTGAACATTTCCCTTTTCGTACCAGACTATGGTTGCAATGTCTAAAAAACTGCTTGGGATTTATTCTGGTAGAACCACTCAAAAGGTCTGCAGCCAAATCTGCAATTCTATGCAGTCATGTACATATGTGAAGGCAGAACTAGAATTATCACTGCAAGCACAAGTTTGTGTGCTGAGATAATTGGGTGGAGCGGGTGAGGGGCACTGATAAGAGTTTTTAAAAACCCTTCACATGCTGATTCTTCCAAGCAGTTTTTCTTAGTTGTAGAGCCCAGCTGGAACACACACTTTTTTGGGGTGGGGGGACTATCAGCAGGGCAGGATTAGAATTGAGGATCCTGCTTCTGATCACCTATTTGCAGCTGCAACCACTCTCAATCATCGCATTAGTGTTACAGGTAGACGAGGAAAGATGGGGTTACCAATGTAACATTGAATTTCATCCTAAATTTATCTGAGCCAAGAGCAGTTTGTGCAAGTGCTAACTGAACACAACAAAAAATACAGAGTCCACCCAGTTTATTAAGAAGGTTCAACTAATTTGCAGAAAGTACGAAGGATCGGGAAATGCTATAGAATAGTCACATGCTTCACTTCCTTTCCTGGCAAGGTTTGAAGATGGTTTGTAAAAATAAGGCTGTTGCTGTTGTTTTAAATGTTGCAAACAGCAGTTACAGACTTTCAGAAGCACCAGAATTGGAAAGAGAGTGTGACTGAGCATGCATAGCAACACACATTTATTCTTATTAAACTTTGACAAAAAGTCAGAATACCCAAAGTGAATGGATAATATGAGACTCTTAATCTCAGGGTTGTGGATTCCAGCCCCACATTGGGCCAAAGATTCCTGCATTCCAGGGGGTTGCACTAGATGATTAGATTTAAAATGTGGAAGAACTAAAAAACAGCCCCTGGATAAATGAACTGTTTGCAACAGTTTGGTTTTCACTAGTTTGAACTTGCATGGCAATTCTCAAACCAATGTAGCTAAAAGTAAATTAAACAAATTCTCAAGTTACAGAAATGATCTCATCATACAAGCTGTGCTCCTTTTTAAAAAGAGGAACAAAAAAGGAAGCTAGGGAGTTAATGGCAGGTGTTAGCAGAACTTTTGGACAGACTATACTGTTCATTTAAAAGTGCACTGGTTTATTAATAAGTTTATAGACTCCAGGAAGAAATCCATGAAAAATATACTACTTAGGTTTATTTATTATGAGGCTGTGATATAAAATTTACAATAGTCCTGCTAGGTTAGGCACCGGTGTGACCAGTCTGGATAATTTCATTGCAACCCAGCCAGATGGGTGGGGTAATAACAACAACATTCAAGGCAGCAACATCAGGATATGAGGAAAAGCCTGTCATTTCATTGAGTGACAGCCAACCTTGGTATTCTCTTGGCAGTGTGTCCTAGAAGACCTCCCTGCCTTGCAGGCCTTTTTCCACCTGACCTGGGATGGCAAGCCCTGACTGACTCCAGCTAAAAGAGCTGAGGTTGCTAAACAGACTCTTGGGCTGGGGCATGGGTAGGCAAACTAAGGCCTGGGGGCCAGATGCGGCCCAATTGCCTTCTAAATCCAGCCCGCAGACGGTCCGGGAATCTGTGTTTTTACATGAGTAGAATGTGTGCTTTTATTTAAAATGCATCTCTGGGTTATTTGTAGGGCATAGGAATTTGTTCGTATATTTTTTTCAAAATATAATCCGGCCCCCCACAAGGTCTGAGGGACAGTGGACTGGTCCCTTGCTGAAAAGGTTTGCTGGCCCCTGAGCTGGGGTACTGTTTAGGAAGTTTGCTTAGGGTGTGGTTTGTTGCTCTTATTGCTGTTAATTTTTTGTATATTTTACATCTTATGATTTATGAGGAAATGGTTCAATTTGGTTGTGTACTTCTTGATATTTTATTTATTGTTTATGACTCCTTTTGTTATGTTTGTAATCATGCAATTTTTTATATGTTGCAAGCCGCCTTGAGCATGGTTTTAATTTCTGAAAGGGAGCGTAACACACAAATAAAACGATGGATTGTTCATTGTTTTTGTGCAAGTGGAAATCGGTTCATTCTCCCCCTCTGAAGCCCCTTGCACCTACCCCACCTCAAATCTACTCCTGAAGGTTGGAGGGATCTTCTGGAGAAAATTAAGTTGGGGTGGGACTGCAGGAGGGAGGGAGGGCAATCCCATCATGCTCTCTGGTGTGATGGTGGATCCCACCCTCTGTGAGAGCCCCAAGGCTCCCTCTGAACCATAAGAAAACTACAACCATGAACCATAGGAGTAGGTTCTTGGGACTAACTTTCATCAATGCTATCTGACACATGTTTTCGTGCTCTTTTCCTTAGAATGAACAATATTCATTCACAGCAGGGTTGGTTCTACAAATCCAAGGGGCTTACAGCAGTCAACCCTCTTCCTATCACTACATGACATACCATTTGGAAACTAAGGGGACTTTCAGAAACAGTGGAAGGAGGCATGAAAGATCTGCTGTTGAAAGAGGGAAAATCTGCAAGCTCTTCGGTGTGCCCAAAATGGCACTTTGGATCCTGCCCTATGTTGAAACTACAAATCAGTAGTAGCAAATGAGAATCCATCTTTCTTCTGAAAAAATAATAAATGAAAAACAAACTAAGTTTGAATGATAAGCTAGAAACAACACAAACAATGGTGTTGAATTGCTTAGTGAAGGAAAGTGCGATTTAGAGTTTTCCAGTACCCCAAGTGTATTCAAAGCAATTAAGAATCAGCCTTCTTTCATAATATGTAGATAAACACATTTGAAGTGAAGATATTTCACATACCACCCCTAGCAGAAAGAAAACTTTAAAGTTTATAATAATTTATGTTTATATATACACGTTTAAAAGGCATGTTTAGAATTCAGGTCGCTTTTGGTTTCTTTAATTAAAATAAACACAGTTGGGAGCAACACACTGACGGCATTTGCACATTGTATTAAACTGCATTTACAAGTATCAGGTTTGTGCTCCCCTCCTCCCATGGAGTTTGGAAGCTTTCACTTCTCCTTTTGATTACCCACATTGTGGCACACAGGTATTATTAATAAGGGGTGACCTTGAAAGCCAGAACCCCAGGTCTTTTGTACTGGGCCTCAAATCGCTTCCCCATTCGCAACTTTATAGAAAAATCTTTTTGGCTTACAGGGCAGCTGGGGACATGCTGCAACACACAGGAACAGAAGTGGTAGAACTAGAGCTGCACTTAGAGGTCCAGCCTCTCCAAAATGAACACTCATAGAACAGCAGAAAATGGGGGTAGAAGCAAACATGCCCCATGACTGTGGTCACTGCATCATCCTCTCTTATTGTTTAAAGCACTCTATTGTCGGAGACAGCTGACTAGGCATGTACATATTGCTACTTTTCTTTTAAAAAATATACAGTGGTACCTTGGTTCTCAAACACCTTGGTACTCAAACGCTGAAAACTTGGAAGTAAGTGTTCTGGTTTTTGAACGTTTTTTGGAAGCTGAACGTCCAATGCAGCTGTCGGCTATTGTTTCTGGGGCGCCTGAACCAATCAGAAGCTGTGCTTTAATTTTCGAACATTTTGGAAGTCAAACGGACTTCCAGAACAGATTATGTTTGGCGCTTTTGTTTTTGCTATTTATTTTGCGTTTTTGTCTTTGAGGCTTTTTCAGTTAATTTGTTTTTGTGACTGTGTGGAACCCAGTTCAGCTACGGGTTGATTGACTGTGTGACTGCAGATATGGATAAAAGCCCCCCATCCAAACAATGACTATTATCAGTGAAGGTAAGGGAAAAAATTAATTTTCATTTTTATCATCTACAATACTGTCTCTATTTTATAGTACAGTACATTGATTATTGCTTTCATTTTATGAATCAGTGGTCTCGTTAGATAGTAAAATTGCTGTTTTAGGGGTTGTTTTTAAAAGTCTGGAATGGATTAATCCATTTTGCATTACTTTCTATGGGAAAGCACGCCTTAAAAGTTTGAGAACCAAGGTGCCACTGTATTATATGTTTCCCAAACAAAATGTGTATTCCTGAGTAATCAAGATGGTGCTATGACTTAAGTGAGTTTAAACTGTAAAACTGCACATGTTCAGAGTATTCTTTTTACATAAACTAGGTTGACAAAAATCACCTAGCTGTACTAATGTATGCCATCTAAATTTGTTTCTTTACACAGAAATTATCACACAAATTATCAAGCAAATTTGTGTCATGGGCTTGGGCCCCAGTCTTTTTAACTACCTAGCAATATCCCTGGCTTATCACGTCATCTAAATATAGTTCCGGGTCAGATTCTAACTATGGTTAGTTTAAACAAGCCAAGCTTCAACAATCATGGTTAGTTCTGAACAAGCTAATGTCAAATCACAGTCAGTGTTAACCAGAGTTTGTTGATTTGGGTGACTTAACAAACGGCAGTTAAGCAAAAGCTTCCAAACCCCTCGCAACCATGCAGCAGGGAGAGGAAGAAAGTGCACAAATCTGAGGTTCATGGCAGCTCATTCCCGCTCTTTCACACCTTACTAAACCAGGGGTAGTCAACATGGTGCCCGGCAGCTGTTGTCTGACTACAACTCCTTCATCCTTCACCACCAGCAAGGCTGGCTGGGTTAATGAGAGTTGTAGTCCAACAACATCTACTGTGCAACATGCTGGCTGCCCCTGCCTTAAACTATAGTTTAGTGTGACATGCAAGCACAGCTTGTTATGGCTTTAAAGGTATATTTCGGTAGTCTGAAGAGCTTGGAAGGCTTATTCTCATACTTACTGAAAAATCCAAGGTACACGTTCTTGGATAGCCAGGGATTCCTGGACTGAAGCGCCACACTGTTTCCAGATGATTAAATAGTTTTCCATCTGTGCATGATGCCTAGGAAAAAGGTTAACCGTTTTAACACTTTCGTATTGGATTCAAAACCCTCAGACCTAGATGTTCAACTTATTTCGGCTTCCACATAAACTAGAACTACAAGACCAGAATAAAATCCATAATTTCTCATTTGTTATTTCATAATGTTAGAAAGTGCTTCCTTTTTATGCCCGGAGAAGGAGGGGAAAAAATAAAAGTCCCAAAGGTATGGGTAGAGACCATGGATCAGTGGGGGTCCCAGATTCAAACTCTAGTATCTCCACTTAAAAAGTTCTTAACAATGCCATCCGCGCAGAAAAATAAGCAAGGAAAAGGAGCCTCTGTTGGATTCAAGTGCTGTTCATGGAAAAGACAAATAGGATCCAACCCAATGAAACTGAAGGGAGCGGTTGCAAGTTTTTGAAGAATCTCTACAAATGTGTCTTATACTAGAGAAAACTGGCAATGTACGTTCCAGCGTATTAGCTTCAGGTTTCTTTTCAGCGGATATAAAAACAAAATAATGCATTAATGCAAAATAGGTGCATTATTTATTGCACTTCTGTTCTGTATAGAGAACCCATAACTTAAAACAAAAACTGGATGGGGAGGTAGCAATTTCTGGAGTGTGTGCAATCTGTATTGAACAAGCACATCTGTCTACATATAATAGAATGGCAGGAAAGCTGCAAGCAATTATACAATACAAGATGCTTTTAAAAAATCATTACCTTAACCAAATGAGGTCTCACTAGTGTACAAACCGAAGTGTATTTCTCCAACACAGGAGGAAATCCAACTTCTAAGTGTGCCTTGCAATATCCTGAGCGCTTGGATAACACATCTGACTTTTTGCACCATGGCACAAAGTTCTTGTATTCACTTACAACTGCTACCACATCATACATTTCTTGCATAGAATACCTGACAAGAAGAAAAGTGGAACTTAGTATTACAAGCAGTATTCAAAGGACCAAGTCATGCATCATTTTTGTGCTTTCCTATGCTTGAGCTGGGACGCGGGTGGCGCTGTGGGTAAAAGCCTCAGCGCCTAGGGCTTGCCGATCGAAAGGTCGGCGGTTTGAATCCCCGCGGCGGGGTGCGCTCCCGTTGCTCGGTCCCAGCGCCTGCCAACCTAGCAGTTCAAAAGCACCCCCGGGTGCAAGTAGATAAATAGGGACCGCTTACTGGCGGGAAGGTAAACGGCGTTTCCGTGTGCTGCGCTGGCTCACCAGATGTGGCTTTGTCACGCTGGCCACGTGACCCGGAAGTGTCTCCGGACAGCGCTGGCCCCCGGCCTCTTGAGTGAGATGGGCGCACAACCCTAGAGTCTGTCAAGACTGGCCCGTACGGGCAGGGGTACCTTTACCTTTTATGCTTGAGCTCTTCAGTTATGAAATGTATCTCTTCCTTACACACACACACACATACACACACACACACACACACGCGCGCGCACAGACACAGACACAGAGACACACACACACACACACACTAGCCTACCTCCCAGGGCAGCTGGGAAGATAAAAATGAATGGAGGGTGAAGAAATGTGTGTGCCAACCTGAGAACCTTGTAGGAAGGGCAGGTAACATTTTTCTTTGGGGTCCCATTAGCTCCTGTAGCCTTTTAACATTTATATATATAGTTTTGGTAAAAGGTAAAGGTAAAGGGACCCCTGACCATTAGGTCCAGTCGTGACCGACTCTGGGGTTGCGGCGCTCATCTCGCTTTACTGGCCGAGGGAGCCGGCGTACAGCTTCCAGGTCATGTGGCCAGCATGACAAAGCCGCTTCTGGCGAACCAGAGCAGCACACGGAAACACCGTTTACCTTCCCGCCAGAGTGGTACCTATTTATCTACTTGCACTTTGATGTGCTTTCGAACTGCTAGGTTGGCAGGAGCTGAGACTGAGCAAAGGGAGCTCACCCCGTCCCGGGGATTTGAACCACCGACCTTCTGATCGGCAAGTCCTAGGCTCTGTGGTTTAACCCACAGCGCCACCCGCGTCCCTTCATAGTTTTGGTACACACACTTCAAAAAAACCAATCTACTCCAGTTTTCTTGACCCAACTAAAGTTTATTTTATGATAAAGGCAAAATGCGAAGGCTTTCCCTACCCTACTTTGAGAAATTTCTGAGCATACAGTGGACCACAGTTACCTTAAGTGTTTGGTATTTTCACTTTTCCATTCATTTCAATAGGAGTTAAATCAGGCTCAAACCTGTTTTACAGCACAATCCTATGAATGTACTCAGAAGAAACTCCACTGTATTCGGTGAAGCTTAATTACTTCCATGTAAATGTCCGTAAGAGTCTCCTTCACTCTATGGTGTTATTTGACTCAAGGGATTTATTTTTACACTTCAAGCCACATTGTAACAGCATAGCAATTTCTACCAAAATTAATATTGCCAGTACAGCTCTGCAAATTATTAACACAGAAATACACGCTTCAGCAACTTAACTACGGTAACCTACTTATGTACAGTGGTGCCCCGCAAGACGAATGCCTCGCAAGACGGAAAAACCGCTAGACGAAAGGGTTTTCCGTTTTGAAGTTGCTTCGCAGGACGAATTCCCCTATGGGCTTGCTTCGCAAGACGAAAATACCTTGCGAGTCTTGAGATTTTTTTCACTCCCCCTTTATCTAATCTGCTAAGCCTTTAATAGCCTTTAATAGCCTTTTAGCAGCTAATCCCCTAAGCCTTTAAGCCTTTAATAGCCGCTAAACCGCTAATAGCGCTAATAGCGCTAATCCGTCAATGGGCTTGCTTCGCAAGACGAAAAAACCGCTAGACGAAGACTCTCGCGGAACGGATTAATTTCGTCTTGCGAGGCACCACTGTATGGGAATCCTTTCACTGTAAACATGAAGACTGCTTAACTGTTTCTAAACAGTGTAACAGTTTTTATAACTTTAGGCAAAGAGCCATTCTGTGGTTTGGATCCAAAAGATACTTTGCACACAGAGAAAACAACTTCCAGTTGGACAATTATCTTCTCTCTCTGCAGCCCTCCAAACCTGTATTCTGTGCTGTTCCCAAAAAAACCCATTCTGAAGAGCAGGTTTCCATGGATACAAGGGGATGATGAGCCAGAAAAACCCTAGCACGGGCGCAAAACATAATAGCTTCATCAAATTTGTTAAATACCCTTGCCTTCCAAATTAGTAAAAAAAGTTCACATGTGTACTGGTGTGACAATATGACACTATACGGTGCACCTAATTTAAGCACACCATGTACTTTCTAAACTGCACTGTACAATATATTTGCTTCTAAATTAGACAACATGATCTCAGTGAAGATCCCCATCCCCATATAAAAAATTATGCAGCATCCCCATACAAAAAATTATGCAGCAAAGAGAGAGATGGGAGTCCCATGTTTGCCTCATAATGTGACTATCTGTGAAACGTAAATTCTTCAAAGACTGAGAATGAAGTAACTCACAAATAAATAAGACTTGAATCAATTTTAAGTAAACACATCTTGGGCAAAACCAATAGAAGTCGAAACATTGATCAAAATTTGGTCATGCAAATCAACACCATGCATTCATATACAATTGTAATTCTACTTATTTGTATACAAACCCTATAATTCTTCTCTCTGAATATTCTTTCCTTTTGTTCCCTAATGGTGAAGTAATGTTGAAGAAAGTTCTTCTTGAAAAAACACAGTGCGTTCCAGGTACTTGAAGCAGAGGGGCCTTGCTCAACAAAATTTCCCAAGAAGTCAAATGCCTGCAATGATTTAAATTTCTTTATTAGAATTAGCCCATGCTTAACAAAATAATTTATCATTTATCTAAATAATAATGTGCAAGATCCAGCGTCAAGCCAGAGGGCTGCCCCATCTCCTTTCCCTGAAGCCCCCCAATGTGCTCCAGAGGGTTCTCCAGAATTTCTGGAGCTGATTGGGGAGCTGAAGGCTCATGGGGAGAAGTGGAAGGGAAAGTCCCATTTGGCAAGTAGAAGGCTGTTGCGCAAGCAGGACGTCGCAGTTGGATCTCGCTCATTAAATCAAAATGTAACACAAGGACAATCATAGCTTGCAAGCTGTTCAGGATTAGGCTAACTTTTTAGGACAACCTAAATATATCTCAGTCATGAGAAAGAACCTGGCAACAGTACAATACAAAGGCCATCCACCCCTTAAGACTTGGCTCCAAGTCAGTCTGAGGCCACGTTACCCTATGCTCATCTGTTTGAACTGCCCTATAGCATCTCTAATACTCTGTCCCTTTCTGCTATAAAACAGTAAAATGAGCTTGAACCACACATCCTTGAAAACAGTAATTCTTGTTCTTGCACAGGCAGGGATTCTTCAAACTAGAAGTAGTAGTCACATGCTCCTCTGTACCAAAATGTTTTCTCACCCCTCTTAGCACACCGAGAAGAGCAATCTTGCATAGGAGTCTTCTAACATCTTCTGTGACAAACTTGCTGGTAATGGTCAGGGGAAATTTCTCCCTACCCCTGAGGGTCCCACATGCCACAGATCTGCATTGGTACAAATGTTGCTGGCTTTGAATGAAAGGATCTAGATTTTCAAAACTTAACCATGGTGGCAAAAGCAATTCCACACTAATGTCAACACTGCTTGAAATAGCAACATTTCTCCACAAATGAAGGCCCCCCCTAGACATCTACCGTATTTTTCGCTCTATAACACGCACCCGACCATAACACGCACGTAGTTTTTAGAGGAGGAAAATCCGTAGGCATGCCACCCGTAGGCATTCCCTCCATAACACGCACAGACATTTCCCCTTACTTTCTAGGAGGAAAAAAGTGAGTGTTATAGTGCAAAAAATACGGTAAATTCTTACCCCCAAAGTAATAGTGCTGGCAATATATGTGAAAGACCCTGAAAGGCAGTCACTTAAATAATTTTCTTGCATAATTTTCTTACATAATTTAGTGTTGCCATATACGCTCTGGAAGTCCAGAAGCAAGATACAATAGTGATGACCATTTTGTATAGTGGTCCTTCAGTATCCAGAATTCATATTCCCCCTCTAAACACAGTGGTTCGTGTTAGCTATCATAGCTGATTACTGTTGTATCATAAATTTGTTTTAACTTACAGTCATACAAGCTTCTGAAAAAATCAGGAAAAGTAGGACGCCTTTTTCTGATCTCAAAATCCCTCAGTGTTGTGTCCAGAACAAAAAAATTAGTGCAGATATTTTAATATATGCACTCAAGCATGTGCTAATAACTCTTTTTATGTTGGGATTTCAATTAAGAAATCTTCTACTTAGCTTGATGGCAAAATAACCACTTTCTTTAGCAGGACCAATTATTTTTACTTGCAAACTAAACACTGAAGCTTCTATTGTGTGCAGGATTTTTTTTTTCATTTTGATCTAGCAAACTCTGTCCAGATCTTTGATATTTCACTTAACTGCTAACAATATTCTTTGGGAAACAACACTGGAAGCAAAATTAATCAGAACATTAGGCTTCAGCACTGGTTTCAATGGAAACACCTTTCCCCGCTTAGAGCAAGGAACTGCAAATAAAGAAACTGAGAGATCACGTTGAGCCCTCAGAGGTTTTACATTATGTCACTTATGATGTCAGGTGTGGGGTAAGTGGATGTGGTTGGGGGGAAACAGCCTTATGGGTCAAACTGGGATCCCTGACAGACAAAGCTTGGTCTGCAGACCAGAGGTCCCTCACCCCTACTATTTTATTATTTATTCAATTTCTATACCACCCTTCATTAGAAGATCAATGTTCACAGTTATGAGTTGAGATTTCAAAGTGTGTATGTTTGGGGGGGGGTAATTTAGCTTAGTGGCTGGGAATCCTCTATGTATCGGGAAAGCTGTGAAGCTTTTCACAGTACTGTATGTCCTCATCAAAACCTCAAATGTATAGCTTCAGCTATAAAACTAGATTAGAATTACAACATTAGAATTGAACAGGCACAAGGATGAGAAGTTAGAAATGAATTTGACCTTTCCCAGCTGATCTCCTTGATCAAAAAGGTCATCTATGAATCACAGAACTCAAATTATCAATGTTTCAAAGTGCTGTTTATTCTTCTTCTGCCTTGGGTCTCTGAACAAAGACAAGTACGTATTGCATGTACCAAAATGAATAGAAATGGGAGACAGGCACTGCAGGGGAACTTTAGAGCAATAGCTAGCGTACTGTTGTACCAGTTTCAAAGGAATACTTTTTGTGGGCAACACTGAAAGCACTACTATACAGACTGTTGTAGTTACATAACATTTTTTGAAGGGCAACTAATTTTAACTTCTTAAATATGTATGTTAAGCAATGCCACAACTACAGGGGGGGATAGCCGAGGGTTTTGCCCTGGGTGAAGCCTCCAGAGGACTCCCAACCTGTGTGTGTACGCAAATGCACGTGTGGGGGGTGCCAAACTGGGTCTTTAACCCAGGTGAAATAAAGTTTAGTTCCCCCCTGTGTTTACTGTAGCAGCAGGCACATTCTTTCAAAGTACCGTATTTTTCGCACCGTAACACGCACCCGACCATAATACGCACATAGTTTTTAGAGGAGGAAAACAAGAAAAAATATATTCTAAACGAAACAGTGGATGTATGATTTTTGTGGTTCATGCTGTGGCCACAGACATGTGATCTGACGGTGAGTTTGGGGTAGCCCAATGCAAAATCCTGAGGATCCATGTGGATCCATGCTTTGTAACCATGTTTTTGCACCACTGCGGCCCCAGGCAACAGTGGGTGCGTGCTTTTTTTGGTGCAAGCTGTAGCCATGGACATGCTATGTGATCTGATGGTGAATTTGGGGTGACCCAGTGCAAAAATCCTGAGGATCCAAGTGGATCCGTGCTTTGTAACCACGTTTTAAGTGGGGAGGGAAGGAAAAGCACTCAAGGGACAAGGAACATGCGTGGGGTGGGTGGAGAAGGATGCTGTTAATAATGCAGAAGAGGGGTATAAGGGGAGAAGGCTCCTCTCCTCTCCCGCTTTGCTCCTTTAAAGGCTCTGCTTCTCTCCCTCCTCCCCGGCGCGCTGAAAAACTTTGCAGCTATTTAGCGAGCTGTTCTCTCCCTCCTCCCCGGCTCGCTGAAAAACTTTGCTACCATTTAGCCAGCTGAGTGGGGAGGAGAAGGGACAGAGAGCCTGCTTGCGAAAAACTTTGCTGCTATTTAGCGAGCTGTTCTCTCCCTCCTCCCTGGCTCGCTGAAAAAAACAGCTCCGGACTCATGTAAGCGGCTCCTCTCCTCTCCCGCTTTGCTCCTTTAAAGCAAGCAGGCTCTCTGTCCCTCTCTCCTCCCCACTCAGCGGATCTTCTCCCGCTTTGCTGTTTCAAAGCGAGCTACGGAGGAGGGAAGGAAGGGGAATCATGGATCCTCTGCTCACGACTGCAGCAGACCCCCCCGCCATCCGTAGGCATTCGCTCCATAACACGCACAGACATTTCCCCTTACTTTCCAAGAGGAAAAAAGTGAGTGTTGTGGTGCGAAAAATACAGTATTTTCCATTTAATCAGCAGACCATAGAATAAAAACCTTGCAGTTAGAGAGATTGTCAGTATCAACCAGATGTTACTAGACTCCAAATCTCAACATGCCCAATCAGGAATGCTGAGAGTTGTAGTCCAACAACACCTGGGAACCCCAAGGTTGAACAACACCAAGTTAGAAGATACAACGATTAATTGACAGTTATTATTTGACAGATGCAATGATTAATTGGGGAGGTGGGTTCTGGCTAGTGATGCAGGGTGGGTAATTTCCAGTGGGGGGAATATTTCATCATTTTGTTAGCAACAATAAATGGATGCTAGTTACAAGTAATTATTAGGCAATTTTAGTAGCTGCAGGGTTTTTAACTTTCTTTACTAAGTACAACAAACATGCTAAATTAGTTCACTCAAGGGCATCAGAAAATTTTCTGATGCATATAATTCAATGCAACTTTACCCTAATTTGCATAGGGTGTTACAGATAGGTAGCCGTGTTGGTCTGCCGTAGTCAAAACAAAATATTTTTTTTCCTTCCAGTAGTACCTTAGAGACCAACTAAGTTTGTTATTGGTATGAGCTTTCGTGTGGTACCTGAAGAAGTGTGCATGCACACAAAAGCTCATACCAATAACAAACATAGTTTGTCTCAAAGGTGCTACTGGAAGGAAATTTGTTATTTTGTTTTGCATAGGGTGCTTTGCATCAGAAAATTTTCGTAGAAAAAGTTACTCTAATTTGCAGAATACAATTCTCAAAAACACAACAACAACAACAAGCAAAAAACCAACCCACATCACTGGTTCTATTATAAAGACATCAAGAATCTATTTCCCAAGTTGAATATCTTATGTGGGGCATGGAAACGGGCAGGGTCTCTGCTATCAGTAGTTACATTTTACCCTTGCCAAAAAACCCAGGGATTTGGAACATCCAAAGGGTGGAAGGGGCCAAGGGCTGTACAATCATGCAGCACATGGCAGCTCATAGCAGTGCAAAGGCATTAGGCTCTTAGTGGAGTCTGGGAGTTGGAAAGGAATAAAGGCAGGCAAAAGTGAGCAGAAATGTGCTAAGATGATGAACAATCTCTGATGTTCACCATCCAAGCTCAGACAACAGGTACCAAAGAGCAAAGGGTCTTTGCAGGAGGAAAAGACTATCCTTTCACCTCTGAAAGGCAAAAGGGCTCAGTTTACAGTGCATGCATTGTATTGTTTCTTTACACAACAATGTTTTTTGTTAGCGGCTTTGGATACTAATGGGGAAGTCGAAGAAAAACATTAATGATGGGAGGCTGCAATCCTGTATTTGCTTACCCTGGAGTAAGTCTTCTCAAGCTCAATGGGACTTACTTCCATAGGACTGCACTGTAAATAAAAGCCATAGGACAACATATCCTTTTCTTGCAGTCAGCAGCGTTTTGCAAACAAGATGCCACAGAAACACTCCAGACAAGCGTAACAGGCAAAGCGTTTCCGAGAATTGTCTCCTAATGTTAATGAACTCCAGGCGGGTAGACAAGAGAGTCTCATAGTGAAAGTATTTCACTATTACATCCCCCCGCCCCTTAATATGAGTAGTTACAACAACAATGCACATTTAATTCCATATAATATATAGATGTTTAACAGGTGTGGGGCTCTTTTAAGCGAAATATTTCCACTTCGCTCCCTTCATTTCGTAGAGCAAATTAAAGGTGACTTCCTACAACTCATATTGGTTCTCTGGGCTTTTTGTTTCATTTTGTTTTGTTGCGACCAGCTTTGTCCTGTGCTTTGTCTTCCATGGCAGAGGACCAAGTTAGACAGCCTCTTAAAAAGCAGAGACATCACCTTGCCAACAAAGGTCCGTATAGTTAAAGCTATGGTTTTCCCAGTAGTGATGTATCGAAGTGAGAGCTGGACCATAAAGAAGGCTGATCGCCGAAGAATTGATGCTTTTGAATTATGGTGCTGGAGGAGACTCTTGAGAGTCCCATGGACTGCAAGAAGATCAAACCTCTCCATTCTTAAGGAAATCAGCCCTTAGTGCTCACTGGAAAGACAGATCCTGAAGCTGAGGCTCCAATACTTTGGCCACCTCATGGGAAGAGAAGACTCCCTGGAAAAGACCCTGATGTTGGGAAAGATGGAGGGCACAAGGAGAAGGGAACGACAGAGGACGAGATGGTTGGACAGTGTTCTTGAAGCTACCAGCATGAGTTTGACCAAACTGGGGGAGGCAGTGGAAGACAGGAGGGCCTGGCGTGCTCTGGTCCATGGGGTCACGAAGAGTCGGACACGACTAAACGACTAAACAACAACAACAGGAGGAGGAGGTGGAGCGAACCCAATTCTCCAGGTACCCAAGCCTTGGCCCCTTTCCACTCCTCCCCACAGCACAGAGCGTGAAAGCAAGCGCGAACGCCACCTGTTGAACTTCTGCCTGTCACGCTGAGGGAAGAAGAGGCGGAGAAAGGGGACACCAGAGCAAGCCTAACAAGGGCAGGGAGCCACCCTCAGAGCCGGGGGTGGGGTGAGGTGACCTCCCTCGCCTGCCTGAAAAAGCTCCCCGGAGAGGTCGGGCTGCGAAGGGTGAAGCTCCCCGCACCCCTCGCCTCCCCACAGCCGGCCTTTTCTGGGTCTGAGGAAGCTATTTCTCCCCCACCTCAGAGAGCGGTGGGCGGAGCTTCTCACGACCCCGCCTTTCATACCTGAGAGCGGCTCTCCGCGGAGTCAAGGCCAGCCGCGCGGCGAGCGCCTTCCCAACGGCCCGGCCGCTCCGCGCCATAGTCGACCCGCCGCCGCCGCCACTTAGGTCTCCCTCACGGCCCCCATCCCAACCCTTCCTCCACTCCGGAGACACCCGCCCTCCCGGCGGCTTGTCAACTCCTGGGCCCCGCCTCTTGCCCCGCCCCGCTCGTCGGCCGGCCCAATCGGCCCCGAGTGCCCCCCAGCTCTCAGCCAGTCAGCGGAGCGCTCGCCACGCGCTGCCCTCCCCCCCTCCCTCTCTTGACGCGCCCCTCTCCTTCGCGGACGCCTCACCCCGCCCACCCTCTTCCTCCCACCTCCGCCTCCCCAAGGCACGTGATTTGCCGAGCTCGCGCAAGGCCGTCGACAGGTTCGCGGGGCCGCGCGCGGTCACAAGGCCTTTGCAGCCGGGCGGGCGCTTGGGTTACATAAGGGCCTTTTAAGCCCGTGGAAAGTTAAAATTAGCAGCCGATTGGTTGGCGGGGGTGCCTGTCACTTCGCTCTGTTGTTCCGCGGCGCCGCGCGAACCCGCCAGTCATAGTTGGGTGTGGGAAGACGTCGGAGCTCTTTTCCCTCCCTCTGCCAAAAATGTCCTCTCTCTTTCTTATATATTATATAAAATATAATAACATATATATATATATATATATATATATATATATATATATATATATATATAAAATTAAATATATTATATATTATATACGGTATATTTAACCGTCCCCTTACAGGGGTGGAGAGATAAAATATACATGTACACATAAGAGACACACACACACACACACACACACACACGGGAAATGGAGATATTATCTATCTCCCCTCTCCCATAAATAAACAGGCAAAAGTTCATATTCAAGTTGTATGGCTTGTCCTTGCTCTCAGTTTTCCCAACACAACAATCTGAAGTTTCAGATTCAGGCACTGCTCATGGCATCTCTTGGCCCCCAATCAATAAACTAGTAAACCCTCCCAACTTCCAAATGTCCCTATTTTCCAGGGACAGTCCTGGAATTACAGAAGTTGTCCCGGTTTCTGATTTGTTCCGCTTTTCCTTAGGACGTCTCTATTTTGATCAGAGAAATGTTGGAGTGTATGGAGTTATGCGATCCCCTGCCCCAGCCAAGGAGATAAGTCACTATATAGCCTTTAGAAGTCATCTGAAGGCAGCCCTGTACAGTGGGACCTCTGGTTAAGAACTTAATTCGTTTTGGAGGTCCGTTCTTAACCTGAAACTGTTCTTAACCTGAAACACCATTTTAGCTAATGGGGCCTCCTGCGGCCACCCCGTGATTTCTGTTCTCATGCTGAAGCAAAGTTCTTAACCCAAGGTACTATTTCTAGGTTAGCGGAGTCTGTAACCTGAAGCGTCTGTAACCTGAGGTACCACTGTATAGGGAAACTTAAAAAAAAAATGTTTAATGTTTTATTATGTTTTCGTGTATGTTGGAAGCCGCCCACTGTGGATGGGGCAACCCAATCAGTTGGGCCGAATATAATTATACTTATAATGGAACAGGACGTCTCTATTTACATCGGAAAGAAAAGCTGGGAGGGTATGGACTAGACCAGGCGCCCCCAAACTCGGCACGCCAGATGTTTCGGGACTACAACTCCCATCATCCCTAGCTAACATGACCAGTGGTCAGGGATGATGGGAATTGTAGTCCCGAAACATCTGGAGGGCCGAGTTTGGGGATGCCTGGACTAGACATTTGCCTGGGTATGTGTGTGTTGAACCCAGGCCTTGGTTCCTGCCAAACCTAACATTGCGTGTGTTTGGCAGGGGCAGCCACATTTTGCCTTTTCAGAGGAGTAAAGCAAGCTGTTTCATAGAATCACAGAATCCACAGAAGTGGAAGGGACCCTGAGGGTCATCTAGTCCAACCCCCTGCAATGCAGGACAGGTGGCCAACCAAGCTCTGCTTAAAAACCTCCCCCTCCCATCCTCCTATGTCCTGGGTCCCCCCCACCCGAAACCTCCTCAGTGAACAGTTGGCCATCACCAGCAAAGGTAAGTGCTGGCATCTGCACCCCCAGTCATGCGTGTTCCCTCCCAGTTCCATCACAGCCAGGGCCCCCAAACAGCTGCATCTCTCCTGCCCAGGGAAATGGCTCCTGACCCCTGCCCAGCACCATCCCCCATCCCCATATGCCCTCTGCTTGCAGAGCCCAGGGACCCGAGTTCTGATCCTGCGCCACGATGGCTGGCTGGCCTACAACTACAACTGTCAGCAAGTGAAGCTGGTCCTACTGAAAATGCGAAAAATGCAAAAACAAATAAATAAATTTATTTATTAAATTTGTACACTGTACTGCCCTTCATCTGAAGACCGCTGGGTGGTTTGCACATACAGTAAACCCGCAATGTAAGTGCGAGTTATGTTCTAGGGATCACATCTAAAGCCAAAAGCACATATAGGGTTCAAAGTCTTTTCCCCCCTTATGCCTGTTCCTTTTCTGCCCCGTATTTATTTTTTCAAAAGTTTGCCAAGCATGTAAAGCTCAGTGTGCAGAAACTAAATGCACATAAGTTGCGGGCTTATCAAATGTTCTGCACATGACAAGAAGAATGGCAGTCCAAGAATGGGGAATAGAAGAAACAGCTTTTTACTCTTACAATTTCCTCTTAACTCCTATCTTCCTCTAAAACTGGTAACTTAAAAGCCCAGGCTCACAAAAGAAGCAAGGTCTTACTTAACAATATGTTAATAAAAGAAGAATAAAAAATGGGGTCCCTTCAAGTGGTTCAGCTTCTTGAGGAAGACTGGACCTTCGGAGAGAGTGTACCTTTTAAGGCTCAAACCGGTCGAAAAATGAACATAGACCAGACCAGCAATGTGGCTATAAGTCTGATCTTTACTAAAGCTGTTGCAACAGGGTGCTCCCACCCCACAAGCAGGAGAGAGGACGACCCAGGACAAAGGTGTGCAAGCCCTTATATAGACTTTGAAATTGCCCACCCTGTAGCTCCAAGCACGCCCTATTCATATCTTAAATGTGCCCTGAAGACAGGATTTGTGAGAGACAATGGGGAGATTTCCTATTTCCTTTGACCTTGCAGAGAAATATTTGAGGTTCTTTTGGGGAGATAGAAAATGGTTTCAGGACTTTTCTGTGGGTTTCAGACATGTGGTTTACATATTTGTATGTATTTGCTTGGTACATTTGTGAATATATATATATATATATATATATATGACCTTAAAAGTCTTGTAACAAGACCTATTATATCAAAGGCAGTAGGAATACGGTAACTACTCAACCCTGCCTGTTTCAGGCACAGAGGATTCTAAATGAATTATCTGCTGTTCAGGATCACACTCTTCATCCCCCAAGCAAAGTCTGATTCAGTCACATTTCTTGCCTCAACATACTTTGCTGAAGGGAAACAAAATCAGGATGGGGCTATACTATAGAACTAATAGAATAATTAACAGCACACTGTAAATAATGAAACTCGATGAGATGGGTGTAAGTCTGTTTCAATAGCCTTAGGCAGAATTAAGCCATTATGGTGAAAACTTCAGCCTGCTGGATCTGCTTTTCTAAGTTTCAAGGAGAAATCCTGACTCCAGTTGACCTTCAGGTAATTCAGGACTGGCAAATCTCCCACCCTAAGCAAAGGAAAGAGCATTTACCATTTTTAAAGGAAGAGTTCTGCAACATCCGTTTCAAAAAGTTTCCGCCAGGCAGAGGCTAATCTTCCAGATATCTGTTCTATGTTTAGAAATGAGAGTGGCTAAATTAGGCACTGCATTAATTAGATTCTTATTTCACAAGCAGGAGCACTTAGGAAAGTGTGGGATGCAGTCCTGTATGATTTCCACCCCCTTGGGGAATATATTATCATCAACAGGCATTAGAACCAAATTCTGCAAATTTCTGGGATTAGTATATTTAGCTGTCCCCCCTTCCCTGGCAAACATCAGAAGAGACTACATTCAAAACAATGTATATGTTTATTATAAAAATAATTATTTATATAAACAACAAACATTTGTTCAAATATCTAGAATACAGTTAAGATCCTTTTGGGTGGTAAGTCAACTAACTCATACACATAATGTACCTACTGAAATAAAGTCTTATTGATTTAAATGGGCCTGCTCTGAATTTTAAAAGCATTGAATGTCGCTTTTTATTTTTAGACTGCTTTCACAACTGTATATTGCTAAATATATATATACATATATATTTAGATGAGTCAATAAAAAATGTCAGTTCCTAAAACTGTAATGTTAATGGACACAGATGTATTTTCCCACTCTTTGTATTAATCATTATCCTTTTAGTGTAAAGTAGAGCTGCAGTTTTCATGAGGCTTTTTTTTAAATGTCAGCAAAGAAGGTTTATATCTGTCATCGTCTGTCTTAACACACCACACTCCCAAGGAATGAATGAAATACATGCTAATAATAATGCAAATATAACCAAAAGCTATATATCTTTTTCAAAAGCCTCTTGCAAATTTGAATTCTAAACCTAATAATTTATCTTGTCATACAGATACATTTTGTTTTGCCATTTATATCCAGATTTTAGAAAAGTTCATTCAAAAGCTCTCCAGAAAACTTTGGTCTAGGTAAGTAAGCTTTAGTTTGCATTTAAAGCTAGCAGTCTAACAATTACATAAGAAGCTTGTAATCAGTATGTTTACGTATTTTAAAAAGTCAAGCTACAAGTTGACTCCATTTTCTTCTAATCATTTATGCATTCACTGCTCAGTTCCTGCTATTTGTCAAATATTCATGCAATAAGCAGCTCATTTTGGTATGGGTTTTAATTTGTGTGTTGCCAGAAGATTATTATTGGTGATTAAATCTGACATAAGTACCAAAACACGTTGACTTTTAAGGCCTTGGTATAATTGTTGTAAAACTTAAAAACTCCATGCACTGTTGTCTAGAAATAGACACCTGAAGATTTGATGTTTGCACTAAACTGAAGTTGATGCCCGCTTCCAATCCTGCCCATTGCCAATGTTTACTGTTAGGTTACTGTATTCTGAAAGAACAGTATTATTCCGAAAGCAAATTTAAAACTTTACTAAATTCACACTGAGCTACCATTAAATCCTTGCTCGATACAACTTTGGAGTCACTTATCAATATTTTTATTAAAATATCCTACTGACTTCAGAGGAGTAAATTAAGCAAACTTAAGCAAACTAAGTTTAATATACTAATTTCAGGGTTTGTTTCTCATCAGAGAATTGGTTTTCCTATTTTAGTTCTCAACAGTAGATGATGCAAACATGTTGGCTAGGATGTAAAGAAATGTAAACTTAGTTCTGTGTTCTCAGACACCCAACAAAACCAAACTGCTTTTGAAACTGAAAGGTGTTTCAAAAGCGGTGTGTGATATGGTGTGACAGTCAGCTGATTAAAGGGAAAGGAAGAGTAGATTTCACTGAGCTGACTCAAGCCTTCTACATGAATCTCGGCAGCTCTATAAATTCCAGTCCCTGCTTCAGCATTTTTACATGCAAGACTGCACAATAAATATTGTCGCCAGGTAGTACAGTCTGATTTTAAGCTATTTTTAAGAATGCAGAACCGTTTTTAAATGACAGAAGAGAGTAACATGAAGTAACAGATTTTAAGAACTTGAGATCTCTCGCAGTCTCACTAGCTGTGAGCACCTGGAAGCCTGCAGCAGAGGCAAAATACAAGGCATATTCAAAACTACATATTTAATCAATGGTATCTTACTTCTGCAGTAAAAGGCAGCATGTTTCAGATAATACACAGAATTGAAAAACCAGTGGAAATGACACTAAAAACAGTGAATTCATTAGTAAGAGAATGTCAGAAAGGCAAATAGTATAACTGCAAGTCACTCAATGCTCTTATAAGAATGCAATTTTTAAAATCTTGACTTTTTCTTCTTCAAAAAATATCATCGTAGCCTTCTATAGCATCCTTGCTATTAGCAACAGCATAAAATTCACTACTGAACAAAGAAATCATCTCTTTGGATGGCTGAAACTGGTTGCAGCAAATCTTATTTCTGTGCATGTAAGCTCTGATCCTTAGAATATTTTCTAACAGGCTGTCCTGCGGCCTGTTCTTCAGCTTGTGCTTTATCAGATTCATTTGTGAAACTGTACACTCCACGGCTGCACTGCTGAAGGGCAGAGTGAGAAGTGCAAGGGCAAATAATCCTAGCTCGACAAAATCTTTATCTCCCACCTCATCTGCATGTTTTACAACCTCTACCCAGAACTGTTCTATCTGGCTATCTTCCGTGTTCGTCCAAGAAACTGTATCCAGATTCCTCCACTGTTGCTCCAATTGCAAGTGATCCCCTCTGTATAATGACAAAAACGACCAAGCTGAAAATGCTGGTCTTAGGGGACTCAGAACAACTGAAGGATTTAGAGCGGTGAGCGATTCAAGATGATCCACATTTGGGGGCAGGCGAAGCTTTATTTGGTTTGCAAGCTCAAAAACACAATCCCCACACGTCGTTTGAATGGCGTCCCTAATTTGGCAAGAGATTTTGGCTTCTGATAATTCCGAAAGGAACAGTTGCCCAAGATTAACTTCGGAGAGGGACAGGTACTGTAGTTTCGCTTGCTTCTAATGTCATAGTTCATTATGGATGACCATGTTGGAAAGGCAAAAGGCTTCACGACTCTCTGTAACAGAGTCTTGTAGAACATCACTAACTCAGTAATCAGTTTAACTGGATTAGCAGTTTCCAAAAGAAATACCGTATTTTTTGCACCATAACACTCACTTTTTTCCTCCTAGAAAGTAAGGGGAAATGTCTGTGCGTGTTATGGAGGGAATGCCTACGGGTGGCATGCCTACGGATTTTCCTCCTCTAAAAACTATGTGTGTGTTATGGTCGGGTGCGTGTTATAGAGCGAAAAATACGGTAACTTACTGAGCCTGTTTGCTTCCTGGACAAGAGGCTGCAGAAAAACCAGGTAAAGTCTGTTAAGAGGCTCAGAGTACATTTGGTAGAGCAGCTCAGCACTGTAGTCCTTTTCAGTGTCTTTTACAGACTGAAAATGCAACTTCAGAGTATCATACAGGCTAAGTATTCTATTAATGCAGGGGCTCATAGACAGCCATCGTGTGTCGGTAACTTGCAGCACCTTCAAGGCAACCTCTCCAACGTTGATTGCAGCATACAGTTCAGCGTACCGTTTCTGGTGAAACGTGCTTTGAGAAAACCACAAGTAGGTCTGCGCAACCATATATTCTAGGTTCAGGGGAAGCACATCGATAGCTCTCGATAAGCACAGGTAAATGAAGTGGCATGTGCACTTAATAAAAACACCGCAAGGATTGAGTTCATAAAACTTTTTGAGCAGCGAATTTTTATGACCACATATACTTGCGCTGAGCCCATCGGCACCGATCCCAACACACTTCTGTATGTTGAGCTTATTTTCATTTAGGAATGATAAGAGGGCCTCTGTGATTAGATCAGTGTCACTGAAAGTAATTAACCCTACAAAGGAGGATACTACGCATTTCAGCTTGTCGCTGAAGTATCGCACCATCAAGCAAAGTTGCTTCTGCGAAGATGCGTCAGAACTTTCGTCAATGATCAAGGAGTAGTGTCCGTTGCCGATATCCCGAAGCAGCTCTTTGTGGACTGTAGGATCTATGATATCTCTTATAATTGTAGAGCACTTTGTCCCTATGAAGGCTTATGTCTTTCTTGGCCATTCCACCAATAATACATCCCAGGTGATCAACAGTAAAAATGCTCATATGGCAAGCTATGTGTGTGGCTAATTTCAGAGCACACACATTTATGGAATCATTCATTTCCATATGCTTGAATTCATCGAACGTGTCCGGTTTGGCTCCAAATGACATTTCTTTTTCAAGTTGCCGCTTTTCAAACTCATAGGAGTGTTTATCCACATTCATTGAAGGCTGTGAGAGCAACGCAACATGCTTCTTACGCTTCTTAGTTTTACTGTGTGACACAAGATCACTGTGGTGAGCTCTGATTTCACACATGCAGTATCTGCATGCGGCTTTTGACTCATCTCCTGGTACCCTCCGAACCCAGTCTTTTAATCCAGCTTCTCTTTCCCAGTCTCTGCAATACCTTTTACCGTACTTTTCCCACTTTCCAATCTGCTCTCGAGCCATCACGGTAGCATGCTCACCAGCACTCTTTGTAAACAAAGCACTGTTTTCTCTCTGAAAACAAACCAGAAAACATTTTTTAAAATGAAGTTTTAAAGCAAGTTTATTTTGCCCTTGTGAAAAAAACATACCGCACAGTAAAGATTGGCTTGTGCTATAACATTCCCACTAACAAAGGTGGTAGATTTGTTTTCCTAAAGCAGTCAAGTAATGACTGCCAAGTTCTGAATTCTGAAGGGGCATCTCCACCTCCATCGTTCTGCCCGGACACTGAGGTCCAGCGCCGAGGGCCTTCTGGCGGTTCCCTCGCTGCGAGAAGCCAAAGTTACAGGGAACCAGGCAGAGGGCCTTCTCGGTAGTGGCACCCACCCTGTGGAATGCCCCCCCACCAGATATCAAAGAGAAAAATAACTATCAAACTTTTAGAATACATCTGAAGGCAGCCCTGTTTAGGGAAGCTTTTAATGTTTAATAGGTTATTGTATTTTAGTGTTTTGTTGGAAGCTGCCCAGAGTGGCTGGGGAAACCCAGCCAGATGGGCGGGGTATAAATAATAAATTATTATTATTAATAATAATAATTAATTTTATTCTTCTTCTTCTTCTTCTTCTTATTATTATTATTAGGTGCCATCCCCACTCTCTGCCAAGTGGTAGCAAGATCCCAGGGGTATTCCAGGCGCTCACCCAGGGTCTGTGCTCATTTGGAGAATTGAAGATGAGGTGGAGACAGTTGTAGCTTTAAGAAATGTGATTTATTCACATATTTACACCTGAATTTGGATGGAGGGTGTCTAGATCTTACACTACGGTCATCTCCAGCAGGACTTGTTGCCCACAGCAGTGCAGCACTGGATTCCCAGCCAGCCTTCAGCCAACCTGCCCAAGATGGAGCTCAGTCTCCCCCACTTCTCCTTCCCAGCACACCTTGATAAAAACACTCTTTTCCTGTCACCTCTCTCACCACCCCATCACCTTGGCAACCTCTGTCTGCTCAAGATTCCTCTTAGATGGGCCATCAACGCCTTTGGTCATGTGCCTCTATCCCAGGTGAGGCCCTGGCTTGGAAAGGAAGCTTAGCCTGTATTTTCCCACTGGTCTGAATTCCTCCCCCCCCCCAATCCAGAACAATATTTATCCATGTAGTATCTCAACTGCAAAGTTCGTGAAAGCTAATCACCATTGATTAAACATAGGAAGGAAACAATGTGTTGCTGCGAACGAGCTGATCAAAGTTTGTTCTAGCAGCAGGCAGCTGGGCGAGACCCGAAGAGTATTCAATTCCCACTTAGCCATGGACCACCAAATGGCCTTCGTCAAATCGTTGGTCTTATTCCTCCCATATAAGGGGAATACAAATGACTTCCGACAAAAACATAGATGCAGCCAGAGCGGGGGTGCCAACTTGAACAAAATATTGGGGAAGGGGGGCAGGTAAGCCCCATCCCACATAATAGATCACATGACACGGCACCCCCCATTTGAATGGCAATGCTTATCAGCTTGGGGGGCCTGGCCCCCTAAATTATTTTATGGGGGGCAAAGAGACCTCAGCCCCTACGTGTTTGGCTGCTATAAGCCAGAGATTGAGCCAGAGACCCTCTGCATCTAAACTAGATGTTATATCATAGAGCCACAAGCCCTTCCCTGAAGTAAAAGAGTGAGATTCATAGCATTAACCTGCTATGACTGGAGCAACTAGCAGTAGATGCTACAGTTTTAGAAACGAAACAAGGTACAGCATTATTCATGTAGAGACCTACTGCACAACCAGAAAGAGGAATCTAGGGCAGGCATCCCCAAACTCAGCCCTCCACCTGTTTTGGGACTACAATTCCCATCATCCCTGACCACTGGTCCTGTTAGCTAGGGATGATGGGAGTTGTAGTCCCAGAACAGCTGGAGGGCCAAGTTTGGGGATACCTGATCTAGAGCCTCATTCCCAATGTGCATTCATGGTGGTGCTTCACAAGATACATAAATAAGTACAAATATGATTAAATGGGACCTGCAACAAAATGTTGCAGTGGAACCTCCCTACCAGAGGTAGGAAAGTTTCAAGCAATGATTCCCTCCGTGCCAGCGGTTCCACTCCTCTTGACCTGCACCAATCTGTTTTTCTTTTATGGCTGCCAGTCTACATACCATGTGTTCATTCAGCTGCTTTAATAATCTTTTTTGCTTTAAATTAGCTAAAAAAACACTTTCCCAAACCTCAGGAACCCCTTAAGCGTTGCTGTTACAAAGAAAGAAAAAGAGGTTGATTGCTGTGTTCAGTGACAACTGAAAAACTCGAGCTCTGGCCAGGCTTGTAGTAGTAGCTTAGAGGCAGTCTTTTCTAGTACTGTATTGCTTCTCTTATAGTATTTGTTTTTTAAAGAAACAACCCATAAGCACCTGGCATTTCCCTGATCAAGTGAATCTCTCCCTTGGATACCTTTTCATGGCACTACGGAAACAATCCGGACGGGGAAAAAGAGAGAGAATGGAGCCTTTTTCTCTCCAAAGCCTTGAGATAGATAGATAGATAGATAGATAGATATAAAAAAAATCTAGAAATCACCCCACTCTACCAGCGCGCTTGATATCCGTCCTGGCCACGAAGGAAGGCAAGCACAGAAACCAAGCGAGCTTACAAATTGGGGATCCAAACACATTTCTTTGTAAGCACCTACATGACAGTCACCTTTCCACACTCGGGGGATGATGATGCCACGAGGCAAAAGTTATCAGGTTACGCGCATGCATGTATACATTACGAACCCATTCTGCAGCTGCCCGTTTGCAACTCGTGCCAAATCCTCGGAATCGGTTGATGTTTCTGCAAAGCCCCTTTCGTCCTCTGTCCCCCACCCCTACCCACGGAACCTCTATGCTCCCTACTTTTAAGATCCCTGACTCCCTTACATCTTAGGCAGGCAGGAGAGATCAGAAGCCCTTTTGCAATGCAATTCCTTCCCAGCCGGCTGCAAGCACAGGCGCTTAGCCTCGAGTAGCGTGGAGAGGAACCCTCTCCATTCCGGAGACAGCAGCTCTCTGCCTTCACCCGTCCATTTCCTCTGCTAGCAACAATCCCGCTTTGGCTAAGGCCCAGCCAATGGAGCCGCTCTCCCGCCTAGCCCAGCCCAGGGAAGCGCGCTTTTTGGAGAGCGCATGGCGGGCAGTTGTGGAAGCGGCTGGCAGGTTTCTCCTCGCGGCTGCAGATGTGAATCCGGCGGAGACTGACCTGCTATTAAAGCCGAGTGGTAGTCCACTGGGCCCATCACCTCCTGGCAAATAGGAGAAGAAGAAATGGAGGCAGTGAGAGATTTTACTTTCTTGGGCTCCATGATCACTGCAGATGGTGACGCCTGCTTCTTGGGAGAAAAGCAATGACAAACCTAGACAGCATCTTAAAAAGCAGAGAATTGAGAATTCACCTTGCCAACAAAGGTCAGTATAGTAAAAGCTATGGTTTTCCCAGTAGTGATGTATGGAAGTGAGAGCTGGACCATAAAGAAGGCCGATCGCCGAAGAATTGATGCTTTTGAATTATGGTGCTGGAGGAGACTCTTGAGAGTCCCATGGACTGCAAGAAGATCAAACCTATCCATTCTGAAGGAAATCAGCCCTGAGTGCTCACTGGGAGGACAGATCCTGAAGCTGAGGCTCCAATACTTTGGCCACCTCATGAGAAGAGAAGACTCCTGGAAAAGACCCTGATGTTGGGAAAGATGGAGGGCACAAGGAGAAGGGGACGACAGAGGACGAGATGGTTGGATAGTGTTCTCGAAGCTACCAGCATGAGTTTGACTAAACTGCGGGAGGCAGTGGAAGACAGGAGTGCCTGGCGTGCTCTGGTCCATGGGGTCACGAAGAGTCAGACACGACTAAACAACAACAAACAACAAAGTCCATGTGGGTGGGTGCAGGGAAGAAGAAACGAGTTGGTTAGAGCAGGGCGATGGCAACACCAAGGTTGCTGGTTTGATCCCCGTTGGGAACATCTGCATATACCTGCATTGCACAGCAAACACTCTGGCACCGCGCAGCCGGACCTCCTCAGCACTCTGCTCAGCCTCAGGAACCCATCAGCACAGCAAAGAAAACCTTCTTCTTCTTTTTTTGCATATAAATTTTTATTGTTTTCCTTACATAATCTTTTTTCAACAACATCCATTCATCAAAATATACAGTGGTACCTCGGGTTACATACGCTTCAGGTTACAGACTCTGCTAACCCAGAAATATTACCTCAGGTTAAGAACTTTGTTTCAGGATGAGAACAGAAATCATGCCGCGGCAGCGGGAGGCCCCATTAGCTAAAGTGGTGCTTCAGGTTAAGAACAGTTTCAGGTTAAGAACAGACCTCGGGAACAAATTAAGTACTTAACCCGAGGTACCACTGTATACCCTTTTGCTCTGCCGAGCCATGCCTTCCCTCCCTCCCTTCAGTTGGTATCCCTTGTCACATTTTTATCACATATTTTATTCTCGCATCTTATCTATTTTGCATTGTAGGTGTTACTTCAACCCTGCTAGTGTTTTTAAGTTTTTACAGTTCTCTTTTAAATACTCAAAAAATTTACTCCCAATTGTCCTGGAATCTCTGGTCATCCTGGTCCCGGATCCTTCCTGTCAATTTGGCTAATTCCATGTAATCTGTCATCTTCGCCTGCCACTCCGCAATGGTAGCAGCAAAGAAAACATTCTGGGCCATAACCTGTCATGGAATTCCACTCAGTATTGATCCAGAGCAGATTCCAGTGTATAAGTCAGGACCTCACACTTTTCCTTCTCTCACCTGTGGTTCTGTGGATATTGGCCTTCCTCTTCTTCCTGTGAGAAGCATGCTACTCTGGTAGCGGCAGCCCCATCGGACTCGTCAATGAATCTTCCTTGATTAATGCTAAAGAGGATAATAATTGTTTTGTGCAAGAGAAGGGGAAGCTGAAGACCTCCATGTCACTGAAATTCTACTCAATATTGATCCAGAATAGATTCCAATGTATAGTTAGCAGAGTAAAACTTAAACAAGTTGCAGGATTCCCAAAAAATAGACCAGAGGCAATTATATTTCATTCAGCAGAGTTTTACTGCTACTGAAGACAAATGAGCATAATGGTCACAAATCCAATACATTCAGGATTGGCACTGTCCATAAGAAGTCCATTTGCTGCAGACTTAATTTAAACTTACAGTAACTTATAACAAGACTAAACCTTAACACTATATTCATAACACCACACCAGCTATACTCAGCTTCTCTGAAGGAATAACCCAAACATCATGAAGCTTCTGCTTGTTTCTTTCACGCAGACAAGCTTCCAGAACCCTCTTGAATTAAGAAGAATAGGAAAGATCTCTACACATCAGATCAATACTTTCTGCACCAAGAAATGCAGTTTTTTCTCCAACTTTCAGTTCAGATGCCAACAATCGCCTTCATCTATTTTTAATACATTGCACATGTACCAGCCACATTCATTTCTTCTTCTTTCCCTTACTTTTTTTTACTTCTCTCTCCTTGCTGTAGGCTTTGGTCACTGCTTCCCATTTTCTGTGTCCTTGTTTTTTAGTTTAGGAATTGTTTCTGCTGCACTTAGTATCACGGCTTTACGTGTTGGAAACCGATGTTGACATGGTTTACCATCTTCTGTCTTCAGCTGAATGAGCACTCTTCCTCTGTACTGTGCATGACGGTTCCACTCCCTGAGATTCATTTTGTTTTCCTCCAAAAACACATTAAGTCCAACTGCTGCACATACATCTTGAATTTCTGTAGATGTTGGCTTTTCAACTGCTTTCTCAAGCGGTATTCCTTTTGGTATTGTCTTCTTGTTATTCACATAGGCAGGATATATGCAGATAAATCAAGACTTATCGGTGCCTTCCAAAGACTTTTATTGCCTTCCAAATGTTTCCTGTGTCAACTACTATTTCCCCTATACAGTCGTACCTCGGGTTACATACGCTTCAGGTTACATACGTTTCAGGTTACAGACTCTGCTAACCCAGAAATAGTGCTTCAGGTTAAGAACTTTGCTTTAGGATGAGAACAGAAATCGTGCTCCGGTGGCGCAGCAGCAGTAGGAGGCCCCATAGGCTAAAGTGGTGCTTCAGGTTAAGAACAGTTTCAGGTTAAGTAAGGACCTCTGGAATGAATTAAGTACTTAACCTGAGGTACCACTGTATTGCAAATTGGAGTTTTGCCCACTTTATGGAAGGGTTGTAGTTCAGATTGTTGTTATCCTCATATCGCAGGTGTGGAGCAAGGATCACAACAACCGTGTATCTTTACAGCATATTCTGGATGTGTGCAGGCGCTGATGTATACAGATTTATGACAAATCTTAAGCACCTATTCTATATAATCATCAGTTTCTCTGGTGCTTTACAAAGTTCAAGGGGACAAGTCCCTGCCCTGAGGACCTTACAGTCTAAGAATGGGAAACAACAAAGGGGAGGAAATGGAAGCACAGATAAACAGGGAAGCAATATGTGGTTATTTCAGTTACACATGCTTAGGCTTAGTTGCAGGCTGAGTAGGGCAAAGGAACTAGAGATGCAATTTAAAAACAAAAACAAAAACCACCCCTCCACTCCAATCCATGTACAGGAGTTTAATGTTACTTCAGCACCGGAGATGGGAAAGAGTTCTACACCGCATCTCAGGGTAGCAGGTTAACTTGGGGTGGAGTACTACCTCCATGGCAAGCACAGCTCTCACTTCCAACACCAGCCCATACCCCACCCACAGCACCTGTTGCCTGGGGGGGGGGGGTTGGCTGCCTAATGGAAGGGCCATTGGGAAATTTGAAGTAAGAGAGGTGGCATCACACAGGTGTTCTGAGCGGCAATTGTGAGCACATAGGGCAGCCAGGGAGCAGGAGACACTCAGGATCACGGAGCTCGGGAAATGATGATGATGAGTTATTGCACTGATATCCCACCTCCTTCCTCCAGAGCTCAAAGTGGCATTCATGGTTCTCCCCCTCATTTAATCTTACAGCAACCCTGTAAGGTAGGGTAGGCTGAGAGGCAATGCCTGGCCCAATGTCATCCAGTGACCTATACAGCTGAGTTGGGATTTGAACTCTGGTCTCTCAGGTCCTAGTCTGACACCCTAAACATTATATTATATTATATTATATTATATTATATTATATTATATTATAATATTAATTAAATTATATTATATTATATTATATTATATTATATTATACAAAAATATTAATGACAGTGTTTTTTTCTTGAAAAAATGTTTAGGGGTCCTCTCATTTTTGACTCAAGAAAATCATCATTATATAGTTCAAATCAGGAAAAAAACATACAGTAAATGGACAAAAGTACAAAGATTCACAAAATGTTTAGGGGTATGTGTACCCCTGCGTCCCCCCAGAAGAAAAGCAGATATATATTGTATTGTATTGTATTATTACAATCCCACCCTTCATCTGAGGTTCACAGGGTAGTTTACAATATAAAATATAAAAATATTTCCAATATAAAAACACAAAAAATGTACTGTACTATAGTAACAAACAAAAACATTAACTCCCGCTCCAGACAGGGATGTGCTGGAGTACAAGAGACCCTCGCTGCATGGAGTAGAAAAGCAAAATAGACAGATGTTTCAAGTGAGCTTACTTCTCTAACTGCCCATGTTTAAGGTTCTGAGATTATTATTTATTATCATATAATAATAAACTTCAGATGAAGGGCGGTATACAAATTTTATTTTATTTTATTTATTTATTTTGTGCCCTTCATCTACAGCTCAGGGCAGGTTACAGCAGTTTTGAATTCAGTATTTAAAAGCAACTTGCCCCCCCCCCCATCAGCTAATCAGTCATACTGAAACCAAGACAGGAGAGCAACCATATTAAACACAAGCGCTGCTCAGCTGAGATTCTCTATGAGCAGAAATGGAAGAAGTTGAAGGAAGTTCCCACCAAAGAAGAATGGACAAGCAAGGGGAAGGATTCAGCAAAATTACTGTTTTAAAAATGCTAAAATAAGGTAACCTGATGATAACTGTTTCATGGTTAGAAGCCCTTTTCGCACTTAAAAAAAATATATTGTAACATGATTAATTTACGAGCAGAACTTAAGAGCTTACGAGCAGCAGAAATAACTAGAGGCTATTTGTGTTATGGTTACGCTAGAAAAGAGTGAAGGATAAGGTGCAGCAATGAGATGGACTTTAAAAACAACAAGAAGAACGGGATACGAAGTCGATTAAACAAGCAAAAGTTTTATTATGTGTTGGAATGCTATGCGAAATTTGTGGAAACTTAATGACACATATTTTAAACGCGCGCAAGGGGTCTGCGAGTACAACGGAAGCTGCGCCTTTTCCAGTACACAAGGAACCCTGCGCGTCTCTAGGCCGAAACTCGAGGGCCGCTTGGGCGGAAGCAAGGCCCGAGGGCCTTCCAGGGCCTTCTCGTTCTCGTCTCTATGGTTTCCTCGGCCAGCGTATACCGCCCCACCCCCACTTGCCTCAGCCGCGCTGCTCCGGCGCTTGCGCAAGACTCTCGCGCCTTCCTCCCTCCCCGCGCCCTCCGGCCTGTCGGTCCCAGATAGCGGAAGTCGACGTCGACGAGTGGGCGGAGCTCGGCGGGCCCCTTCCATCTCGCTCGCTGTGTTTGTCCCGAGCTCCACACAAAATGGCGAAGATCGCCAAGACTCACGAAGGTAAGGGACGGGGAGGGCTGGGCCGGGCCTTCTTCTCCGGCTCGACTCCGGGCCTGAAACCCTCTTCCGCTCCCCCCCCGCCTCACGCGCTTCGGGGAAGCCGGAGGGCCTTCTTCGGGCGGCCCAACGGTTCGCGCGCCTCGGCCCGGGGCTAGGCCTGCGCGTAATGGCGTCGCTGGCGCGGTCTCTTCCTTCCTCCTTCCCGCTCTGGCCTCTGCCTCCCGCCTTTCCTGAGCCCTCCAGTCCTCAGCTCAGGAGACCCACAGGAAGCCCAGCCGAAGATGTGTGTGTGTTGGTGTGTTTGTGAGAGAGAAATGCTCTGGACCAGAAACCAGCGTGAGCCGCTACACCCACCTCCTCCCCCCCCCAAAATTCACAAAATAAACACCATATTTATTTGTTTTTATTAGTTTTACAGTACAAAACCGTGCGCGCAACACCGCGTTTCGCAATACTCGCCACGGAGGGCAAGCGCGAAAAGGAAATGGGCCCCTCGCATGTAATAATACTCGCAAGACGCACGCAGAGGGCCACGATTTCCTCCATTTCACTTCGTGCCTGCGCTTTATGATTTTGGTGGTTTTAAGTCAGTCTTCAGAGCTCCACTTGTTCTAGGCGCGTTTTGCGACGGGATTTCAGTTTCTGAGCTGTGGGCGCAGTACTGTGCCTCAGATTGAAACTGCAGAGTGGAAGGAAAGGGGGGCCTTTTTGTGCCCCCAGCTGCTCTCTGAAGACTGGAGAAGAGACCCTCTTAAGAATATTATGGGGGGTGGGCATGGGAAGGACTAGACCAGGGATTGGCAACCTAAGGCCCGGGGGTCGGATGCGGCCCAATCCCCTTAGTCCGGCCCGGGAGGGTCCGGAAATCAGCATGTTCTTACATGAGTAGAATGTGTCCTTTTATTTAAAATGCACCTCTGGGTTATTTGTGGGGCCTGCCTGGTGTTTTTACCAGAGTAGAATGTGTGCCTTTATTTAAAATGCAGCTCTGGGTTATTTGTGGGGCGTAGGAATTCATCCCCCCACCCCCACCGGTCTGAGGGACGGTGGACCGGCCCACAGCTGAAAAAGGTTGCTGACTCCTGGACTAAACGCTGTGAAAAACGAACATATTTTAGCTGCAGTTCATGTTCAGCTTTGTATTCTTGTTATAAAAAAGCCTAGATATTCTGTTGTTGTGCCCATAATCCAGGTTTAAGGTGCCATTTAGCTCCTAGCTTTCATATCTCAGTTTCTAACACTGGTTCAGGCGGAGGTTCTGTTTTTATAAACAGATTTATAGATATTTGTTTCTTCAACAGTGTTTGTATGGTTTTCGCCCGTGGCCTTTGGCTAGTGCAAGAATGCTTGTTTACTTGCTCTTTCAGCTTTTGACTCAGTTTGCGGAAAGTGTTGCACATATGGTTCTTGGGGAGGGAGGCTTATTGCTTAACTTTGAGGGTTTTTTATAGTGGGTCGCTGTGGGGGGGGGGCAGGCCACATGGCCCAACAATGCCATGAAACATACTGAGGAAAGCTGCTAGGAGATGCAGAAGTGAGAAAGGAGGTCAAGTTAGAAGGTGGGGCGGTGTTCATAGACTTAAGCGGCTTTTCTGCAAGCTTTGTGGCAAGAGCTGTGTGTGGTTTTTAGTGGCGTGTGCAATTTCCTAAGCGCATTGGTGTGTTTGGAGAAATCTGGCTTTGCCCTTGGGAGGGAACGGTGAGCCCACCAAGGGCGCTTGTGTTTCACTTTAAGCTTGATACCGTAGCAGGTGTCTGCCTAGAAGTTCCTACCTGGTTGAACAGCTGTGTTTTTGTAAGGCAAAAGGGATGAATTTCTTACTTGAAAAGGTTACAAAGGGAGTAGCTTTCCAGACAAGAACACTGAACGAGTTTAATATGGGAATGTCTTTTTTCCCTAAACCAGGAATGATGCCATTGTAACTGAGCAGTTAGTAATATACTTTATGCAGCTGGCAAAGAACATTCCCATGTTGATGTGGACAGAACCCTGTAGCAGAGGAGATTCTCCACTGCTTTCCACAAATGCAGTAACTGTAAAAGGGTTAACCATGTCCCCTTTCTTCTAACTAAAGCAAGTACCGGTACATAATCTCTTTCCTTCTGTGGTTCAGTACTGGAGTTTAATGTACAGATGCTTTCTTTGCAAAGATGTGACTACTGTAGATTAGCATTTAATCTCAAATGCATTTACTCGAAAATGTCAAATTGACATTGTCTAAACCATTAGTCTAGGTAAGTGTGCTTTGGATTGCAGTATTAGGAACTGTCTTCTCTTTCATGGTTTCCCCATCATATATACTTGTGATCTTGCTGCAACATGTGTTGTTGCAAGACTTCTTAACATAACTTCAGTGTGAAATTATAAGCTTGTTAAGTATAAGAATATATAATTAATTTATGGTGCAGTAAGCCTAATCACAATAATACATAGTGATCTTTATTATTGAGATTGGATGGGTTTACTTTTATTGTTAAGTGGAGATTAAATGTGGGCACCTCAGTTTTACTATTGAATGGATTTTAGATGGTTCTGTTGGAGGCAGAGTGTTCTTAATAGTTGGGGTATGCCCAGTTCCATTATGTCATAGTCACGATTCAGAGTTCGACAATCCTATCGTTAAATTAAAAAAATAAAAGTGCAGGGCTGGAAAAGGCTAGATAACTTGAACTCAGAAGTAGGGGGCTGAGTCAAATGAAGTACCCTCTTTAACAAAAGGGCTTATCTGCCTGCGCAACAGGACCGCCTCTCTCTTGTCTCTCACTGTGCACCTCCAAATCTATTCTCAGCTCCACCAATACTTCGGAACAGATTGGGAGAGCATGCAGGGAGAGGGGAGAGAGATGAAGTCCTCTTGCACAGGTGGAATACTTTGTTCTAATGGTATGGCTTGTTGGATGCAGCCCTAGAGCAGCATGTTGTAAAATTAATATAGTTTAACAAGAATTACCGTATTTTTCGCCCTATAGGTCGCACTGGCCCATAGGGCGCACCTCGTTTTTGGGGGGGAAATGAATTTTAAAAAATTATTGCCCCCCCCAGCCATGGGGCTGGGGCGGGGGAAGCCCGAGCTTCCCCAGCCCCCAGAACAGGCTGCTATCTGCAAGCCTTGTGAGCCCACGGGAACTCCCCCCGGGCTCGCAAGGCTTGCGGACACCTGCGCGAAGCACGGGGCGTAATCCAGAGGGCGCCCCGTGCTGCAGGCTGCTGCCTGCAAGTCTTGCGAGCCCGCGGGAACTCCCCCCCGGGCACGCAAGGCTTGCGGACACCTGCTTGAAGCACAGGCATCCTCCGGAGGACGCCCCGTGCTTCGGGCTGCAGGCTGCTGCCCGCAAGCCTTGCGAGCCCGCGGGAACTCCCGCTGGGCTCGCAAGGCTTGCGGATAACTTCCTGAAGCCTGGAGAGCGAGAGGAGTCGGTGCGCTTCAGCGAAAGCATGCATTCGCCCCATAGGACGCACACACATTTCCCCTTCATTTTTGGAGGGGGGAAAGTGCATCCTATAGGGCGAAAAATACGGTAGTTCCTCTCTTGCTCAAACCTCTTAATGCAAGCCATTCTGTATGTAATATCTTTTGAATGGGGAAATCATCTGGGCAGGCAGACTATTTGTATTTGTACTAGTTGTGCCGTACCTGGTGGTTTGTGCAACTTTTTGCTGATAATAAGACAAAGTCGGACATACACATGCAAGTGTGGTTAAGTGCTGCATCTTTGATTTCGCAGTTTTGGCTGTAGCAAGTTGTGGTGTACTGTATACTGGGGACCCCATTTGATAATAGCTTCTGTAGCAAGAAATTACTAGAACAGAAGAGGCAGGTATAGGGTTTTGAAGCCCAAATGATAAAATCTTCATTTTGTTTACTAAAGTGGTGTTCTTAACGAAAACCATCACACACAACCATTGATTTCCCAAACTAGGAAAATAATGAGTGCAGTAGCTTGCTCTTATCCTAATTTTATTTGTAAAGATGGTTCAAATAATGTTAATGTAAAAGGTAAAGGCACCCCTGCCCGTACGGGCCAGTCTTGCCAGACTCCAGGGTTGTGCGCTCATCTCACTCTATAGGCCAGGGGCCAGCGCTGTCCGCAGACACTTCCGGGTCACGTGGCCAGCGTGACAAGCTGCATCTGGCGAGCCAGCGCAGCACACGGAACGCCGTTTACCTTCCCGCTGGTAAGCGGTCCCTATTTATCTACTTGCACCTGGGGGTGCTTTCGAACTGCTAAGTTGGCAGGTGCTGGGACCGAACGACAGGAGCGCACCCCACCGCGGGGATTCGAACCGCCGACCATGCGATCGGCAAGTCCTAGGCGCTGAGGTTTTACCTACAGCGCCACCCGCGTCCCTATAATGTTAATGTAGCTATACTTTAATAAAACCAACAGTACAGTTTTTGTTTGTAATATAGTAAATGTAGCATAGATAAGAGACAAGTATTGTATACATCTCATTTTCAACTAAAATTTAAACCAACCCCCCCCCAAAAAGGGGAGCTATTTTATTTTTCATAGCTTTCTGGAAATTTTACATCTCTAGGCAAGAATGTATTCACCCAGGCATGTGGGGGTGAAGGATCTTGAAATATATGTTTCCTGTAACTGCGGTTATTAGATTAATCCTATTTTGTTAGTTTTTAGGGTTTTTAATGTATTTGCTGCCTTGGACTCCTTTGGGAGGAAAAGAGGGGATAAAAAACCTAATAAGAATAATAGCCAAAAGTGGAAGCAAAACCTTCAGAACTCCCAACTCCTAGCCGTAGAGGAGGATCAGAAAGGAAGCACAGAAGACTCACTACAGCTAATTCCTGTTAAGTTATATTAGAGTGACATGCAAACATGATCATTTTAGTGCATGTTTTATTATCTGGGTATACAGTATTTAGAAGGCCTACAGGAGAGTTGTCATAGTATGACCTTTCAGTGGGCAGATCTAACAAATCCTGCAAGTGAGGCAATATTTTATGAACAGTGATAATAATAGTTAATAATAGAAACTTCGAGTTGGAAGGGACCTTGGAGGTTATCCATCTCCCTCATCAACATGACAGCAACTTTCCTAACAGAAAGTTATTTCATCCTCTGTCAGGCCCTTCGTCTTTGCATAAGCCACACTGCTTCCTAGGAATATGCTCGCTCTCCTCCTCCTCCTATACCACACCCCTCCTCTGTGCCCATTTCAAGTCCTTTTGCTGTGCTGGATTGCACCCTTGAACTATTTGACAGTGCATTTTGATTGTCTGAACGGACGATTTGTGGGGGTTGTGTGTGTTTATCTCAAAACCTTTGATTTGTGTGACTGGAATGTCTCACCGTACAAAAGCATAGGTTACATCAGTGATGGCCAAACTTGGCCCTCCCGCTGTTTTGGGACTACAATTCCCATCATCCCTGACCTCTGGTCCTGTTAGCTCTGGATGATGGGAGCTGTAGTCCAAAAACAGCGGGAGGGCCAAGTTTGGCCATCACTGGGTTACGTTCATTGGTCCCAGAAAGGTTTCCCCTTGGGGTGGGTGTCCCTTGATCTGAATACTTCCATCCCTGACTTAATACAGTAGTTTCCTACATATGCTGTATGTGTTCAGCCCTGCAGAACAGTTGCTAGATTGCTCTTTAGTTATGCCTTGGAGAAGTTGATGAAATGCTTCCAGTAATACTTTTGGACATGCCTTTGTTAATCAGTGTGTGTGTGTGTGTGTGTGTGTGTGTGTGTGTGTGTGTTAAAGCATTTGAATTTACCTTTGTCATAGATATTGAAGCACAGATTCGAGAAATCCAAGGCAAAAAAGCTGCCCTTGATGAAGCTCAGGGAGTGGGCCTTGATTCTACAGGATATTATGACCAAGAGATCTATGGCGGGAGTGATAGCAGATTTGCTGGATATGTAACTTCAATCGCAGCAACTGAGCTAGAAGACGTAAGTACACCAATACATTACTGTCAAAACAAATTCTATCATATTGTTGAAATTGTTCTTAAATGAAAAGGCGTGTAAGTTTTACATTTCCGGCTACAGCTCCCATTTAAAGTTTGCAAAAAAGCCTTCCATCCCGAAAACCATAATTTAAATACAGAAATGAACAATTAATTACATCTTAAATGTTCCTGCTTGTATAGGATGACGACGACTACTCTTCTACAAGTTTGCTTGGCCAGAAGAAACCTGGATACCATGCACCAGTGGCACTCCTTAATGACATACCACAGTCAACCGAACAGGTGAACTTTTCAGTATATAATACAATAAGGAAGTAGAAGCTTTCTATTTCCATTTCTGAGAGGAATAATGGGGACAAAATACTCAGTGAGAGGTGCGAGAGATTTTACCTGTGGCCGTGCACACGAACATACACACTGCATGTGAATTAGTAATTTATTCTGTAAGCTGCTGAAACCTCCATGCAATTGTGTGCAATGATTACATTTCGTTGTGTGCCACTCACTGTTTTTAAATTTTAATTGTATTGTTTAACCTGACTTCCTCATTTAGAAGCCACTTAATAGTATTAAACTATGTGGTGTACAATATTTTTTAAAAAAACCAATATGGTTAAAAGTACAGCCTAAAACAAAACAAAAAATTGATATAAAAATAAAATAGGAACATGGGGATTGAAATTTAAAAGGGTCTGATCTTACAGGTCCAGGGAAGCAGTTCATGGTTATTGCTTCGTGTATGGCAGGGGGAAGAGCGTTCCGTAATACAGTTGCAATGGCAGAAAATGCTCAATTTCTGGTCATTGTCCAATGTTATAGTATATCTTGCCACCCCATCGTTCTGCCTGGACACTGAGGGCCTTCTGGCAGTTCCCTCACTGCGAGAAGCAAAGTTACATTGAACCAGGCAGAGGGCCTTCTCAGTAGTGGTGCCTGCCCTGTGGAACGCCTTCTCATCAGATGTCAAGGAAATAAAACAACTATCTAACATTTAGTAGACATCTGAAGGCAGCCCTGTTTAGGGAAGTTTTTAATCACTGATGTTTTAATGTATTTTTAATCTCTTGTTGGAAGCTGTCCATAGTGGCTGGGGAAACCCAGCCAGATGGACAGGGTATAAGTAATAAATATTATTATTATTAATAATAATTTGCCTGGATGATCTTTGTCACCTTAGAGGTTTGTACAGGGGAAGGCAGGTAGCCCGGTCCTTTCTTGTTCAGGACTTTATATATAACAAGACCTTGAACATGACTTGGGAGCTGTTTGGCAGCTAGTGTAGTTCCCACCGAGCAGGTTTAATATGTGCTTGTCCAGGTGCTCTGCTTAACTTTGCTGCAGCATTCTGCCCCAGCTGCACCTTCTGCACCAAACATAAGAGTGATTTGGCAAAAGACACCAGCTGTGAAGTTTACTGTTGGCAGTGAAGAAAAATTCTTGCTTTGGAAGGGTTTTATAGGGAATAATGATTAACTGTTTTTAAAATAAAAGCTAAATTAATTTGTAAGTGGCATATGGAATATAATCAGCTACGAACTGTAGTGAATTGGGAACACAATTTTCATTCAGCTGAAGTAGTCTTTCCTTTAAGAGGAAATAGAAAACCTTGGGGAAATTTCCTTATCTTTTTACATTGCTGGCTCACAAAAGAAAACCCATATTTTGTGTTTCTGGTTCTTAGTATGATCCGTTTGCTGAGCATCGCCCACAAAAGATCGCTGATCGGGAAGATGAATACAAAAACCGCAGGCGGATGATGATTATTTCCCCTGAGCGTCTTGATCCTTTTGCAGATGGTAACTTACTTTCTCTTTTTCACTGGATCTTACGAGTTTTGTTCCCTTAAAATTGTCTTTAGCCCTTTGATTTCTGTTGGCATGCTTATAAATTCAGGAATTTTTAGTTTATGTAGTTTTAAGAGTTGGTTGAAATCGTAGTTTGCCATTTTGTTCCATCTTTTATAATACAAATTTTCTTTCCAGGTAGAAGGACAAGAAAATAATGAGCCATTGCCATAGAAACACAAAGGGTTAAAGGTTTCTCTTTTTTCTCTTTTGCTTTGGGTTATGTATACTATACTTTGAGCAACTTGTATATTTAGTGCTCAAGAACCTTCCAGCTTTCTGGAAGGGTTCACTCCAAAATTAGAACACAAGAGAATTGCTGCTTTTAAAATGCTAAGCAAACATGGCAGTTCATTCTCAGTAGTAGGATTAGCTACATGAAGCAAAAGTAACATTGAGAGGCTTTGGTACTTTTTAATAGTTCAAGTCTGTTCTGATGGTTTTAGACTGTAGGTCAGTGCAAGGGGCAGTAGTGGGCCTGATGGAAATTTTCCTCAGGTGAGTCAGCTTGACAGGTAACCTGAGGGCACCTGTTGGTTAAAACTATAGTTGGTTGCAGGTTTTTGTAAATTAGCATTTCAGCCTGCATGAATTGATAGGGATATGGATTTTACTTGCTTAACTGTCATTGATATAAACATGTATTGTCAGAATTCACAGGCCCATACTAACTGTCCTTAATTTCTTTCCTACAGCAGTACTGCTATATGCCAGTCCTGTCTGCATTCTTAAGGGTGCAGTTCAACACATCCTGTGTAGATAATGGTGAAAAAGTATCCCAAAGGAAAGTCCTTATCAAAGCTAGTGTCAGAATGACACTGCCAATTGGGCAATGATCTTCAGCATAGAAAATGTATTAAGAATTTTATTTTGTCCTAAATATTAATGCTATACTACATGTATAGCCAATCTGCACATTAAGAGCAGTGCATCCTTGCTAAGTTTGTTACTATATAGTTGGGCTTCTGTAAAATATTTAAAAGTTAGAATAAAATTTAAGATACAGATTGGTATATCTTATGATGTGGGAAAAACAATCATTTGCCTGTGAGTATCCTTATAGTGAATATAGTTTATTGGAATCAGCTCACAATGTAATAATTGTGCCTTCAGAATCAGTGGGGGGAGAAATTGTGTGCTCTTTAAATGAAGGCCTTTAACATGTCACCACAAAATGAGAATCTGGGAATGGTTGTCCAGATTCATCGAAGAATATACGCTGGTCTGTATGATAAAAAACAATTTTGAGTTATTATCTAGGTTTACAATAGTTCGTAGTCAGATAGCATAGGCTTTATCAGCTTGAACAAGGTAATGTGTTGATTATAAATATCTTTCCAAAGTGTTACTAATGGTAAAGAGATAATTTTCTAGGCTTCTATTCTGCTGCTTGAAGTCAGAACTGCTGATGGAGACAAAGGCACGAAAGTGTACGTATTCCGGATTAGCAACCCAGGAACCCATCACTTCTGAAGACTCTTTTAACTGTGCTGTCATTTTATCATTCTTATCTCCTTTAAAAAAATATTTGTTTTAAACTGTTGTAGTTATGTTTGTGTTCAAACAGGTTAAATTGATCAGCAAAGTGAATAAACGTAAGATACATGTAATCTTTTTTTTAAAAAACAATTCAGTCAAAACAGTAAAATTAATTGATTTTGGCATAACGTAATGTTAGAGTAGGGCAGTTTTAAAAGCCAACTTTTCCTAATCTCCTGTACTTATTATACTTCTGTCCTGTTGCTGTTCTCTTCTGCAGGAGGGAAGACACCTGACCCTAAAATGAATGCGAGAACATATATGGATGTTATGCGTGAACAACATTTGACAAAAGAAGAGGTGGGTTAAAATTCCACTTTAAATTTTAATTGGTTGCAGTCTAGGCTGATGATCAGGCAGCTTTTGAGAGCCCACCAATGCTCAGATCTCTCATGAATTGGTTCTCCTCCCTGTCCATCCTCCATTGACCTGTTTGTCCAATTGCACAAACAAGTTTAAATTTTCCTATATGTTTTGGAGCAACACCATGTTAAAGCATTGTGAGGAAATTAAATGATGGGTGGCTGACAACTGCCCACTGTGGATCATAGTGCTGTTGCCAGTAAGTTCACATACAGAGGCAGCAGACATTGAAGGCACCCGGAAGATCGCCAGGAGTTCCTCAACTCTGATCCTAGTGCAACTGCATGTGACGTTCTCGGTGGACAATATGTGCAAATTCAGTGAATTGAATATTGTGGATTCAGCAAAACAAATGTTATCATGGTGAATTTGCACATGTTTTTCGGAAGAAAACATTTAATGGTCTTGTTCTTTTGGCCGAAACATTGAATCTGTTCACAAATAAAAACCCAGGCATCTGAGCCATGGTATGGAGCACCAGGAGCAAGCTTTAGTGTCAAGGATTCCTTCCTCCTATCCCATGCTTAGATCCAGTTGAGCGGGAAGAAACCAATTTATTGTCAGTTCAGATGTAATGGCAAAGGATTGCTTGCACTAAGCAGGAATATATAAGTTAGGGAGTCTGAGCAAGGGAGCGCATTCCATGGTTTGGAGGATCAGGAATATTGTGAGTACGTCATGTTCAGTGTAGCCTGTTGATATTTTTGGCTAAATTATTTGACATTAATAATTGGCAGGTGCTTATCTGCAGAATTAAGTTATAGCATCAAAAAAGAAAGAAAAAAAGATTGCAGTTAGGGGATAGCCAACTGAATAGCTTACAGGTTGACAAAAATGCAAATAAAAGTGTAGATCAAAAGATTTGAAAAGGCTCCACTAGCACAGGAGTGTGGAATTTATTTTAAGCTTGATAGTATTGGAGGAACAAGTCATTTATTTGTTTTATCTTTTAACAGAGGGAAATTAGGCAGCAACTAGCAGAAAAGGCTAAGGCCGGCGAACTTAAAGTCGTCAATGGTGCTGCGTCCCAGCCACCATCAAAACGCAAACGGCGTTGGGATCAGACTGCTGACCAGACTCCTGGCACCACACCGAAGAAATTATCTAACTGGGATCAAGCCGAGGTAAGGGTGTGATGATAGTGGGTGCTTGTCTCAAGTCATTGAGTCCTGGGGTTTCACGAGCTTTTGCTGTATTTAGAGCTGTCCTTTTTTCTTACTTTGTGAATTCAAGGGCCACTGTGGAGAGGGTAGAGTCCCCAGCATACAAACCAGGCATATGCCCAAAATGCACTGCACATATAGCAGTGTTCCCCAGCCTGGTGCCTTCCAGCTGTCCAATTGACTGAGATTGATGGGATTTGTAGTTCAAAATATATAGAGGGCACCAGGTTGCCTTAAGACCTCTCAATCAATGTAATGCTCTAGTGTGGAATAGATAAAAGCCTCAAAGGTGAATGAAAATACCTGCTGGGTTAGAAAAAGACAACCAGTGATCTGCACCTGATAGTTGATGTGAATTCCCAGGTATTTTGCAATCTTAAGTACTTTTGCAAGTAGTGCAATATAACACCTGTTTCTTTGTTTTATTCAGACCCCTGGACATACTCCGTCCTTGCGATGGGATGAAACGCCTGGCCGTGCAAAGGGAAGTGAGACACCTGGAGCAACACCTGGATCTAAAATATGGGATCCAACTCCTAGCCATACACCAGCAGGAGCTGCAACACCTGGGCGTGGGGATACTCCTGGGCATGCAACCCCAGGCCACGGAGGTGCAACTTCCAGCGCACGGAAAAATCGATGGGATGAGACTCCCAAAACAGAAAGAGGTATTTTTATCATCCTGATCTGTTATTTGCTTGTCAGTGTACATGAAACTCTAAGGCCAAATCCAAAGAACCTCAAGAAGTTCTATGCAGTCGAGAGAGTACTGGATGTTTTTCTCAGGTAGCAATCTCCTTTGTTACTATTAATACTAAGAAGAATGTCAATTCTCTGTTAGATGCGTGTGTCTTCTGGCCAAAGGGGACAAAATAAATCTTCCATTTTAGCAGGTGGAACCCCTCAGATTTATTTAAAGAAACTTATTTTAATCTTGATCTCTGAAATAAAAGCTAATAAAAGGATTGCAATCGCTCAGCAAAGCTGTGTATAACTAATACAGCTTTACTTATTTGCGAGTAACATTGTTCATGGTTGCATTTGAACATCTTGGGGAAGTATGAGATTTGAAAAGGTTCTTGAAACCTGCAGTGAGTTTTCACTTTCAGAATAGATCATCTGTCTCTGTACACTGGAATCAGTTTGAAGCAAGTGGGTTTTGTTTTACAGATACTCCTGGACATGGGAGTGGTTGGGCTGAAACACCTCGTACTGATCGAGGTGGCGATTCCATTGGCGAAACCCCCACCCCTGGGGCAAGCAAAAGAAAATCACGTTGGGATGAAACGCCTGCAAGCCAGATGGGCGGGAGCACCCCTGTGTTGACACCCGGCAAAACACCAATTGGTACACCAGCTATGAACATGGCAACCCCTACACCAGGTATGCTTGAATTATTTTTTTAACAGCCCAAGCGTAAAACATGGAACTCAGCAATGACCTAATGAAATAGAAAAGCGGTTTTTAAGCTTACTCTGCTTATCCCTAAAGGGGCGTGCAATGCGTGTCTGCTTAAATAATTCGAGCTTGAAATTTGGCTGTGTGCGATAATGATGTATATATGCCTTTGCTTGTTTCGCCGTGCATTTGAACAGGGAGATCATTTGACGCAGTTAACAACATAATCTGTTGATTGCAACGTAGGTCACATCATGAGCATGACTCCTGAACAGCTCCAAGCCTGGCGGTGGGAAAGAGAAATAGATGAGAGAAATAGGCCCCTTTCTGATGAAGAACTTGATGCCATGTTTCCTGAGGGATACAGGGTAAGCAGATGGACCCAAGCCATCACTTGCAGGATTAGCATGAATTTAGATAATGTTTTCCTTAACTTTAACGTGCCTTGTTCAGGAACGGACCTATGTTTTGAATATTGCCTGCATGTTGTGAATCAGGACCTGACTGATGTATCTTCTCCGTTCGTAGTAACCTAATAGTTTTTGTGCCTGCACTTTGAGCGATCCCTTTGTTATTTTGCTTTTAAAAATCTACCATGAATGGTCTCAAAATACTGGATGGAATCCAGCCATTTCCTAAACTTAACCATGGGAACCTGGATAGCTCAGTGGGTTAGAGCATGGTGTTGATAATGCCAGGGTTGCAGGTTTGATCCCCATATGGGACAGCTGCATATTCCTGCATTGCAGGGGATTGGACTAGATGGTCCTCCGGGTCCCTCCCATCTCTATATGGTTCTGTGATTCTATTGGGCCTAACCCAGAGGAGTCTTCTTTGTATAGCTGGGCTCAGTTTCAAAAGCAGTTTGCATTGGAGAGCGAGGTCCTCTTAAGGGAGAAGCAGTCTAAAAAGCCCTTGTGCTTAGAATTACTTGCTCTCTCATACCTCTCTTTTTGGAGATCCAGTGTGGTGCAGTGGTTAGAGCGGTGGACTCGTAATCTGGTGAACTGGGTTTGATTCCCTGCTCCTCCACATGCAGCTGCTGGGTGACCTTGGGCTAGTCACACTTCTCTGAAGTCTCTCAGCCTCATTCACCTCACAGTGTTTGTTGTGGGGGAGGAAGGGAAAGGAGATTGTTAGCCGCTTTGAGACTCCTTAGGGTAGTGATAAAGTGGGATATCAAATCCAAACTCTTCATCTTTAGTTCACACTAGCCATGGTCAGTGCTCTCAGTCTGAGGTGCTGAATTCTCCTTGGCAAAGCTGCTCAGGGTCTCCAGTGTCATCCCCTCCAGAGCAGCTTAAGTAGAGACAAAATTGGAAGACGAGCACGCTAAATTCAGTACGTGAGAGTTGGGCAAGATTTTAGAGCTGGCTTGCAGCACCTCATTTTCCCAGTGACATTAAGGAGGCCTCTACACTGACGCACAGGCTTTTTCTGGGGCTCTTCCAAGAAGCTGAGAAAAATGGTGCCAACTGGCTGAGATCCGACAGATTGGACAGTTGTTTCCTAAGCAGACTCTTGAGAAGTGGCGCTGCTCACCTGAGCAGCAGCCTGTAAACTGCCACTTCTGAGCCAGTTGGGGGCAGTATGGTTGCCAGCTGGCACATAGCTGTTTGTGTTTAGCAATTTTAATCGGAGCTAGCTGACCTGACTGGAAGAGTCCGCGACCAGAAGGAGGAGGAGTACCAGGAAGAATGGATGAAATTTAAAGACTATGTACTTAAATACGTTAAGATAACTTAATTGGAAAAACTTGCAAATATCAGATAGGCTTAGGATTTAAACATGTGATGTTAGAGAATAATATGCTTAAAGTTAAAACGAAAAGAAAGAAAGATGTTAAGTGATTAAGTTAATATTATGAGAAAAATTGGTTTTGGAAAACTGTTACAATGATATACACTGAAATTCAGCTAGGGGGATTTGAGGAAGTCAGTTAACAATGTTACTAAGATTGGATCAAGTTCAGTTATGATTTTTGTTTGTTTGTTTGTTTGTTTAGAATTTTGGAAAATCAATTTTAAAAATTTGGGGGGAAAAATAATCTCTCCGATTATTGGTTTGAACACTTAACCTTTTCATTTTAGGTTCTCCCTCCTCCAGCGGGTTATGTCCCTATCCGTACTCCAGCTCGTAAACTTACAGCGACGCCAACACCTCTGGGCGGCATGACTGGATTCCACATGCAAACTGAAGACAGGACCATGAAGAGTGTCAATGACCAGCCCTCAGGAAATCTTCCTTTCCTAAAACCAGATGACATACAGTATTTCGATAAACTACTGGTGAGATTTTGGCTTGTCTGTGTTGTTTTCTTACACTGTATGGAGGTTGGCGTTAAATGTCTATTAACTAACGTACTTGTAATTAAATGTAGGTTGATGTTGACGAATCAACACTCAGTCCAGAGGAACAGAAAGAAAGAAAAATAATGAAATTGCTTTTGAAGATTAAGAACGGCACCCCTCCCATGAGGAAGGTAAGTTAGATCACTGCTCCTCTTACATCCACTGTTTATGCTCACTTTGTCTTGTGTTTGCCCTGTAATTTATGACTGAATTTTATTATTATTATTATTATTATTATTATTATTATGTTATATAGGCTCACTTTATAATTTCTTGCCGGAGCTGGACAGCATTTTTGGTTCCAAGACCCATCATTACTAAAATATTTAGAAGAGTGCTTCTAAAGACTGCTTAGAAGAGTGTGGCTGTGTTGATTTAGAAAAATACTTATACAGCTGAGTCATGCACAAAACCTCTAAGTGGTGTACAGCAAAAATAAAAACAAAGATTAAAAACAGAAATCTCATATGCAGCTTGCCAGTCGCCTAAAATTCATTTATGATCTTGTTGAGATTCCTGTATTTCAGGGGCTTGGAGTAGAGGACCTTTAGGGTTCCTTCCAATTCTACAGAAAAGGCCTGGCCTGTCAGTAAAATGAAACTTAGAAAGATGTCTTTTTAAAAAGGAGCATTAAATGCCATAGAAACATATTTCTTTATTTTAATTTTTTGACTTGCTGGGCTTTAAAATGAATAGAGCAGACTGTATCTAATGTTACGCTGCATTTCCCCTCTTCCATAGGCTGCTTTGCGACAGATTACTGATAAAGCTCGTGAATTTGGGGCAGGCCCGCTGTTCAATCAGATTTTACCCTTGCTGATGTCACCAACTCTTGAAGACCAAGAACGCCATTTGCTTGTCAAAGTTATTGACAGAATCTTGTACAAATTAGATGACCTGGTCCGACCATATGTCCACAAGGTTTGTCTCTCTGAAATTCAGTACTTCCATTCTGAATGACATAATATTAATGTAAGCCTGTGATGTATATATTCAGAATAACAGATGATTGCACTCCCTATCGTGTTGCAGGCTCATAGCTATAAATATATTATTTCCACAATTAAATATAGAAAAAAGCTGTGTTGTTAAAACACTGTTGGTGCCCTTCAGATAGCTGTGTTTAAATTTTGAATTCCAATTTATTAACTTAGCTCCTTAAGTTCTAGCTGCCACAGCTATAATATTATTTTTGGAAGTAGGAATGGTCCTTATTAGCATTAAATTATTAGTGCGAGGTACCAAAGTAGAAGGATAACAGAGAATTGCAATGTGGATTAAATAAATGCAAATGAATAAATTCCAATTTCTTTGGAATTGGAAAGCGTGAAACCTTCAACTTCTATGAAACTCATTCTTGAGTTTAGCTACTACTGAAGTTAACACAGTTTTAAAGCTGTATTTGCATAAGACCTAAGTGTTTTAACTTTCATTTAACCCTTTTCAGATTCTTGTGGTCATTGAACCGTTGCTGATTGATGAAGACTACTATGCCAGGGTAGAAGGCAGAGAAATTATTTCCAACTTGGCTAAGGTAAACACACCATAAATTCTTTCTTTTTATTATGCTAATACTAGCAGAGATTGAAAACTTGACCTGGGATAACATAATAAGCGTATCAGCCAATCTGACTGCATATTGTGAAGAGGCAAGATACTGTTGCTTTATGGCTTTGAAAAGCGAGCACAGCCTTACCCGATCATGAATTTAGATTGTAGAAATGCTTTGTGCAGGTCAGCAATAGCAGCCTGTTTGCTTATTTTGTCTTTTCAGGCTGCCGGACTGGCAACTATGATTTCCACTATGCGACCTGATATCGATAACATGGATGAATATGTTCGTAACACAACGGCTCGAGCCTTTGCTGTGGTCGCCTCTGCTTTGGGCATTCCATCTCTGTTGCCTTTTTTAAAAGCCGTGTGTAAAAGCAAGAAGTCCTGGCAAGCTAGGCATACTGGTATCAAGATTGTGCAGCAAATTGCTATTCTTATGGGCTGTGCCATTTTACCTCATCTCAGAAGTTTGGTTGAAATTATTGAGCATGGTAAGTAGATGTAAAATTGCATAGCGTTCAAGTCCTAAAGCAGGGGAGTGCATTTTAGCTGAATGCTGTTAATGGGTCATATAACAAATCAATGTTGTATCAGAGCATCTTTGATTTTCTCTTTGCAGTAAAGTCTGCTGGGTGTATGAAAGCAAAATGCAGAGAGGAGAATTTGGACTGTTCATAAAATGCATCTTACCTTTATCTCCATCAGCAAAGTTGTGCATTCTGGTTATTGCAGTATTGCAAGTGATTAGCAGCTGGCATACCAATGTAGTGTGTACTTGGTGGTGGAGATAACATCAATTTTACAACTTTCTTTTTTAAAAAAAGATATTAACAGAGTTTATATCAGTCTTGTCCCTTTTAACGCTATACAGATACAGTGGTGCCTCGCAAGACGAAATTAATCCGTTCCGCGAGTGTCTTCGTCTAGCGGTTTTTTCGTCTTGCGAAGCAACCCTATTAGCGGATTAGCGCTATTAGCGGTTTAGCGGCTATTAAAGGCTTAGCGGCTTACCTGCTAAAAGGCGCTTAGCGGCTTAGAAAAAGGGGGGGGGGAATCTCAAGACTCGCAAGACATTTTCGTCTTGCGAAGCAAGCCCATAGGGAAATTCATCCTGCAAAGCGCATCGAAAAACGGAAAACCCTTTCGTCTTGCGGGTTTTCCGTCTTGCGAGGCATTCGTCTTGCGGGGCACCACTGTAAATAGTTAAGCTATGGGTAGACGAGCCTGCAATATAGGAGACTAGGATTGGAGGCTATGCTGAAGTTAGGTTTGCTGTCCTGTTTGCCTCTTCTTGTTGTGCTACTCTTCAAGTTAAGACTTCTTTAGACCAGAGACAAAGCTATACCAAGAAGTTGGTCAAGTACTGTAGTCATACACTTCAGAGGGGGGTGTAGATTTGTGACACCCTTTGGCCAAAGGCTTACCACCACTGGATTAGGCTGTAGGATTGGGATGATTTTGGATATTCTCACTGACTTGTTGAGGTCTCTCAAGACATTGCTTTATAGCTCCAAAAATATTTTAACGTGACTTGTGCGGGTTTTGGTAAGCATAGGGTGGGATCCAATTTAATGCCTGCACAAAAAGGTTTGAGAGTTGCCATTGTTGCATAGGTGGTAGCACACAAAGCTAAACTGTCAATGAGTTGCGCTTGTGCCAGGGGGTTCACAGTCTCTCTCACAAGCACAAGATTGTGTGCATCACTTGTGTTGTACAAGGAAGGGACTCCTGTTCACAGAATGTCTGCTGTGGTGCAAGCTGACTGCCACAACTGGGCATCACCTGAAATGTGTTGGTTGTGCCCTGATATCTGTTGACGTCACTTCAGTTGTGTCTCAGCAAGATGAAACGAGCAATGTGTTTGTTTTGCAGGCTTGGTGGATGAGCAGCAGAAAGTACGTACCATCAGTGCTTTGGCTATTGCTGCTTTAGCCGAGGCAGCAACTCCCTACGGCATAGAGTCATTTGACTCTGTTTTAAAGCCCCTGTGGAAGGGTATACGCCAGCACAGAGGAAAGGTAAGCCAGAGTTGCCTCAGTCAGCTCATTTTTAAGACAACATGCCTGGATATTATTGATTTTTAATCATGTTTCTAAAACTATGTACCATCAGGGTCTGGCTGCCTTCTTGAAAGCTATCGGGTACCTTATTCCACTTATGGATGCAGAATACGCCAATTACTATACCAGGGAAGTAATGTTGATCCTTATCAGAGAGTTCCAGTCTCCTGATGAAGAAATGAAAAAGATTGTGCTGAAGGTATGCAAATGTAATATCTCCTGATTGTTATTTGAGGCTTTAAAGAGTTGGGTGTATGCAAATCACGAAGAAAGTTACACTTCCATGTGCTGGGAGAGATGTATTGGTAACTGTCAATTTTAACTTGTTAATAAAAACAAGTGTAATATTTTATATAATATTTTTTATACTATATATATTAATTACACCGTGTGTGTGTGTGTGTGTGTGTGTGTGTGTATGAGTGTATGAGAGAATATGAAATAGACATGGATCCTGAAAGGTAATAGTCTCACCATAGTGCAGAAAGGAATACTGAGATCAGGAGAAATGGGGGCTTGCTTAAGACCAGCCCAATAAGTTTGTGCTTGAGCTGTGCTTTGAATCAGGAGATTCCTGGGTCATGCTGTTGAATGCATTTTTTAATTAGTTGCCTTATAAGACAGTTTTTTTACATACTGCTTTTCCAGAATCATTTTGTCTATTTGAAATTGGGTATAATGAAACTTTTATCCTAACTTTTTCTCAAGAAGAAATAGGGTATTCATGTTGGCTGTTTCCTCTCCTTCCAGGTAGTAAAGCAGTGCTGTGGAACAGATGGTGTTGAAGCAAACTACATTAAGACAGAGATTCTGCCCCCATTTTTCAAGCACTTTTGGCAGCACAGAATGGCACTGGACAGAAGGAATTACAGACAGGTACTGTTGGCTTCTTAGTTAGAGAAGGCTTTGAACAAATTTGGAAGTGTGTTGGAAACAAGCAATATTTGTACCATCATGGGTAGTTATAAAGCAGTTTCAGAAGAAACCATAAATGCTAATTCTGGGTGGATTACTGGAAGCCTTATTATTCATTTCAGCCATTTGTGTACCACTTCACACCTTAGTCTCTAAACGATGGACAGTGTGGTTAAAACAATAAAAGAACCATGTTTACACTACTGCTAGTTTTAATACAAACTTCAAGTTGCATAAAGTTTGGCAGTTCTTAACTCAGTGAGAATATTCAGCTCAGATATGCTGTGTTTCAGCTACTCACATATAGTAGTGATGCCACCAATAATAGGATTTTAGGACTGCAGTTCTATGCATATGTCTTAAGAGTAAGCCTTTTTGAACATAACAATTACTTCAGGTAAATATGCATAGGAGCGGGTTGTAAGCTACCCATGCAGAATTATGAGTAAATAAACTTTCCATTGCTTGCAGATCAATCTATAGGGCCTACACCAATAGCAACCCTGAAGTTTATGTATTTCCTGCATACTAGCAACCTCCCAAAACCTAATTTTAACGCTCACCCAAACTCCTTGTTTTTTATTCCTAAAACATAGTTTTGCTTCTATTTCTTTTTGGAGGAACAGAATAGGGGTGGTATGGAACTTGCTTATTCAAAAAATAAAATAAAAATTGTCTGTTTCAGTTGGTTGACACAACGGTGGAGCTTGCAAACAAAGTTGGAGCAGCGGAAATTATTTCCAGGATTGTGGATGATCTGAAAGATGAAGCTGAGCAGTACAGGAAGATGGTTATGGAGACGATTGAGAAAATCATGGGAAATCTGGGAGCAGCTGATATTGACCACAAGCTGGAAGAACAGCTTATTGATGGTATCCTGTATGCCTTCCAAGAACAGACCACAGAGGTATATGGAAACACTCATAATTTCTATTCATAATTTCTATTTCTAATATTTGTGTCGGAAAGGGAAAATCTAGACTTCAGAATTAAAAATTTAGCAGTAACATAGTCCATGCTCAAAAACAGCCCATCTGCACAAACATTCCCACAAGTCATTTGGGACTCTGGGGGTAATAAAAGTTGCTATCCCTTTAGTTGTTAGGGGGCCATAGGAGATATCCGACTGAGCCCACACACTATTTTATTCCCAGCCCAACAAATGACTGGCAACAGTCATCTGGATGGAGAGAGAAAGTACTCAGGCTGCAGCCACAAGGTCCTTCCTGTCTTTGATTTTGAATGAGTTGAGGTACTTGTGATGCTTGTGTCAGTTAAACCCACTTCAGTATATGTCCCTACTAAGCAGCTGTGAATTGATTGTTTCCATTTTGGGGCTCAAATCAGCTTTTACCATTCTGCTGATGTGATGATGCTAGAGTTCAGGGTTGATGCCTGAAATTGTGCTTGACTGTCAAGTCATGAGAAAAGTAAAGGTAAAGGAACCCCTGACCATTAGGTCCGGTCGTGACCGACTCTGGGGTTGCGGCGCTCATCTCGCTTTACTGGCTGAGGGAGCCGGCGTGCAGCTTCCGGGGCATGTGGCCAGCATGACTAAGCCGCTTCTGGCGAACCAGAGCAGTGCATGGAAACGCCGTTTACCTTCCCACTGGAGCGGTACCTATTTATCTACTTGCACTTTGACGTGCTTTCAAACTGCTAGGTTGGCAGGAGCAGGGACCAAGCAACGGGAGCTCACCCCGTCGCAGGGATTCGAACCACCGACCTTCTGATCGGCAAGTCCTAGGCTCTGTGGTTTAGCCCACAGCGCCACCCGCGTCCCGATGAGAAATGCACATGAGGTCAAAACCTAGCCTATCAGAACGAGACCGCGAAGCTAGGAAAGTCAAATAACCTCCAATGTTGTTGACAAAACAATATTAAGACTATTCTGCTTTATAACTTCCTTGTAAACAGGACTCCGTGATGTTGAACGGATTTGGAACAGTGGTCAATGCTCTTGGCAAGCGAGTTAAACCGTACTTGCCCCAGATCTGCGGTACGGTTTTGTGGCGTTTGAACAACAAGTCAGCCAAAGTAAGGCAGCAAGCTGCTGACCTGATATCCCGTACTGCAGTTGTCATGAAGACTTGTCAGGAGGTAGATACTTTTCCTTATCACTTTTCTTAAACATTGCTTTTGTGTCTAGAGACGTTCAATTACAAGCTGTTGCTTCTTTTTTGTTCATAGGAAAAACTGATGGGACACTTGGGTGTGGTATTATATGAGTACCTGGGTGAAGAATACCCTGAAGTGTTGGGCAGTATTCTCGGAGCACTTAAAGCTATTGTGAACGTCATAGGTAAGTGTAGTTTTTATAACAAAAACATCAAAGTGAGTTTTTGATTTGGAAGGACGAAAATTGAGGCTCAAGCTATCCTTTTCTATGTTGAACAGGTATGCACAAAATGACCCCTCCGATTAAAGACTTGCTGCCAAGGCTCACACCTATCTTGAAGAACAGACATGAAAAAGTGCAGGAGAATTGTATTGACCTGGTTGGGCGTATTGCAGACAGGTAAATGATTTTTTGTTGTGGTTAAGTTAACCTTCAGGTCTATATTGTGTAGAGTATCTTTTATATATGTGTGTACTGTAATTTCTTTTGCACTTATTAGTACCTCAACATTTGCTGTAATGTTCAATCCAAAATAAATAGTGCAACTACATCTTGCGGATCTAGGTGTTTGCGTAAAAGGTTTCCACTTCCTTTTCTTCATTAAAAAATAACTTTCCTCTCTCTTTTATCCAGGGGGGCAGAATATGTTTCTGCAAGAGAGTGGATGAGAATCTGCTTTGAACTGCTGGAGTTGCTAAAAGCTCACAAGAAAGCCATCCGAAGAGCAACTGTGAACACATTTGGTTATATTGCAAAGGCTATTGGGTAAGCATGTCCCTTACTGTATAAACACACAGCTCAACACAATCTACCGTATTTTTTCTGTGGACAAGACAGGGTTTTTTGCTAAAAGAAATTAGTCTAAAATTGGGAAATCGTCTTATAGATGAATGGTGAATGCACAGGTATTTGGGTGTGGGTGGTTCTGGCCCGGGTTCAGGCTCTGGCCCGATTTCTTAATTTTGTGTTCAGAAAAATACACGTCTTATACACGGAAAAATACAGTACTTCTCCCTCTCTTTGAAGTAGTGTTAACGTCCCGTTTTCCAACATACAGGGTGATTTTAACCTCCTCCGACGGGGCCCATTGACATTAATGGACTTAAGTAATTAAGTCTGTTGATTTCAGTACTTTTCGATGTCAGTCATGTGTGTCTGGGGTTTGGAGAATGAAAAGTTAACACAACTGCAAAGAAAGTTTGAGTTAGATCCTTTTGAGCTATGCATCTGAATGAAAAAGCTGGAGAAACAATGGGTATAACTTAGTGAACCAATTACAAACCCACAAAATGTAACTCCTATCAAAAATTCAATGCTGCATTTATACCTTTTTAATTGATAATATTAATCTGTGTGCATTACATATTACAAGGAGCAAGTATGACGGGCCTTACCCCAAGGGACTTAGTCTGTGGGTGCCATGGTTCCTTTATTTTAACATTTTTTATTGCTTTGTTCTTCTTCCAGACCACACGATGTGCTGGCGACGCTGCTAAATAATTTGAAAGTCCAAGAAAGACAAAACAGAGTGTGTACAACAGTAGCAATAGCTATTGTAGCTGAAACCTGCTCCCCTTTCACAGTGCTTCCTGCGCTCATGAATGAATACAGAGTTCCAGAACTGAATGTCCAGAATGGTGTATTAAAATCACTTTCCTTCCTCTTTGAGTATATTGGAGAAATGGGGAAGGACTACATTTACGCTGTAACCCCATTGCTTGAAGATGCTTTAATGGACAGGCAAGTAAACTCCCCTCCTCAGGCTTAAACTGTGCTACTGTCTTCATCTTTCATTTGATGCACTTCTTCTGGAGAATATTAAATAGGGGACAGACACAAGACTTGACTTGCTTTCTAGACATGTAATAAGCAAACACGGGAAATATTTGTAAAAGCAAAATTGACCAGAATACATGATAAACAGCCTGTGTGAGCCACCAGTTCTGGGAAGGAGGAGTGGGACTGATTTTCCTGGATCCCAAGTGCCTTCCCTGGAGGGATGGATGTTTAGAATCCCTGCCTCTTTCTCTTCAGTATACATAAAGCAAGCTTAAACAATTGCCACATTGCTTGGCTGAACTTCATTTACATAGCTGTGGCTGGAAAAGATGGCGCTTGGTGTAGCGTAGCTTTCCACTTTTCTACTCTTTTTGGTTGATTAACATCTGCCCAGGGAGGCAGTAGTTAAGCCACTCTGAATTTATCCCCTCCTGGACTCTGGGAATTGTTCCAACTGCTAGCCTGTTACCAATTTTTTTTTTAGCAAGATCAACACTGGATACCAGTCTGTACAATTTGAAATGTTAGTGTTAATGTATGAAACTCTTAAGTGGCTTGGGGCTAGAATGTTTGAAGGCCTACCAACTCCCACATGAACTTGCTAGATCTTTAAAATCATCTTCAGAGGCCCTTCTCACAGTTGAGAGATTAAGCTGGTGGTGTCTGAGGAAATCTGGGAGATACCAGCATTATCATTTGGGTGCCAGGCTATTCTCCAAGGCTTCACATGGTTAAGTGGCCTCTGCCGTTTAATTGTTCCCTTAATCATTTTTTATTATATGGTTCCCCAATTATTACAGCTGCCTGCTTATTTCTTTGTGCTTTTTCTCTACGCCATTGTGTGAATTTTACTGCTTTTAACGTGGTTGGTTTTTATTAATATTGTGAGTTGCTGAAATGGCGAAGCAGTGTATAAGTATCTAAACTGATTGTGGCTCTCACCCAGACATACTGAGTTGAATCTATTGATGAGTGCAGCAGGGAGAAAAGAGGATGGACAGTGGTTTTAAGAAGCTAAATGTCACCAAAATAGGTTAACTTCCAACATATAGTTATGTTGTAACATACATTCTGTCAACCTGGTAAAAACCAAACCTAAACACGTCTATGCAATTTCCTTTTCAGGGACCTTGTTCACAGACAAACCGCTAGTGCTGTAGTACAACATATGTCGCTTGGAGTATACGGCTTTGGCTGCGAAGACTCTTTGAATCACTTACTGAATTACGTGTGGCCCAATGTGTTTGAGACATCGCCCCATGTCATCCAAGCAGTTATGGGAGCGCTGGAAGGACTGAGGGTTGCTATTGGACCTTGCCGAATGTTACAATATTGTTTACAGGTAAATTTCCTTAAGTAAAAATATTTGGTTTGTGAGCAGACCTTGGAATAAAACCCGTATCGCATTTTTTGTCAGGCAAGGAAAAACATTGGTTAAATATTGCACGACCATAAAACAGTTAATGAAGGCAGGGGAGTTCGTTGACATATTAAGAACTATTGAAATACAATTGTAGCGGTAGAACGACTGCTGGAATTTTTTAATTATAAGACACCTTTTTATTTTAGGGCATAGCTCATTCCTAATGACTTGCCTTGAAGCATCGTATTTAGGAAGCCTTGATAAATCATTAGCTGAAAATAATCACAAATCAGTGTAACATTTGGTTTGTGCTGTAACTGAGCTAAAGAAGACAGTGGTTGTGATGGGGGAGTCATCTGGGTGGATGTGAGAGGTTTTATGCATCTGCAGTGTGACTTTCGCCACTCCCGTCCTCTGTGTTCCACTATACAAGATGTTTTCAAAAAAGTTGAGCTTCAGCAGCTTGCAAGTTTCCTGGAGTGAAGGGAGGGTTAGAAGAGGGGAGAGGTATCCCCATTTTGTGTATATTAGTTGTGAACACCTTTTGCAACACCTAGGATTGTGGCTCCATATGGATAAACTGGTCATTTCTTTTAAACAAATTAGGAAAAAAAAACCTTGGAAATGTGATTTAATTCCCCTACTTATATTTTCTTAGGGTTTGTTTCACCCTGCCAGAAAAGTCAGAGACGTGTACTGGAAGATCTACAATTCCATCTACATTGGTTCACAGGATGCTTTAATAGCACATTACCCACGAATCTACAATGACGAAAAGAACACCTACATTCGTTATGAACTCGATTATGTCTTGTAATTTTATTTCTCATTCTTTTTTTGTGTTTAGTGCACAGCTATTCCACACTTGGTTCAGATCTGGTGATGTACAATTTTTAAGACACCGCAGATCACCGTAGAGCGGATCAGAGGCGCAGAGCTTTAGAAATCCAGTAGCATGATTTTTACATAACATGTCCTTGTTGATTTTGATGTTAAAGCCAGTAGTGACCAAGAGCAGTGATTTACAGAGTACTGGAAAGATTTCATTTTGGATTCATCTTGATGAGGATTTAGATTCCATTCCTTGTGTTTAAAGGGGCTGTTTATTTGAGAAATAAACATTTATGTATAAAATATTAATGGTTATGTGTGTGTGTGTGTGAGCATTTTTCAGAAGGGAGACACTTTAACAAGTCTCTGATAGATCGTCAAGCAGTTTATGTAAAAAGGTGGCATACTGCATTTTAACCCTCTTTGTCATACCCTAGCTTTTGAATAAATAAGAGAAATGTTCACATTTTGATTGTGGCGTCTTCATCCTGTGCTTGCTGTGTGGCCGATAAAATCTACAGATTTTGTACTCGCTGAGCGGTAGTGAGTTTCTGGCTTCCTTCACTCAATTCTTTTTCCAAAATCCCTTGCCAAATTCCTTATTCTCAGCAACTTTTTATTCTTGTATTGTGCTACTCTGTTGTTTTCTGTGAAACAGGTGAGATGTTCTAGGAATACAAAAGAGGGTTATTTTTACTAAGCCTGGGAAAACTGGTTGATGGCTCTTGATCATTACATGGAAAACTCTGATATAGAGAAAAGGCCAGTAGTCTGCCGAGACAAAGAATAAATTATTACAGTGGTACCTTGGTTCTCGAACTTCTGATTGGCTGCAGGAGCTTCCTGCACTCAAGTAGAAGCCGCGTCGGATGTTCAGCTTCCGAAAAATGTTCGCAAACCGGAACAGTTATTTCCAGGTTAGCGGCGATCGGGAGCCAAGCCGTTCGAGAACCAAGACACCGCTGTACTAGTTTTTGCCAAGGTAGAGTTCTGCAAATTTATAGTTAGATTATTTATAGTTTTCATCTGCTCGCAAGATTTGTAGTAAACCGCATAAATGTGTATGAAATACACTATGAAAGAACAAGCCCTTTGTTTTTGATACAGCCTGTAGATCCAGCAAAAGAGAAGTGTAGGAAATGCGTTCCAGGTGAATAGTGACTTCAATTTGTAGGCATAAAAACAAATTATCCTTTAGTCTACACTGGCATGATTCAATGCATAGAGGTGATATCCAATGTGGGTGTGGCCGCTTGCATAATGGGACTTTTGGTTTCTCTTCTCCCTCCACTCCCCTCTATGCTGTCAAAATCTGCTTCAGATGGTCCTTCAACCCTCAGGGAGAGGGAGAAGCAGCAGAAGCCCCATTGTTCAAGTAGACACTTGTTCACAGCATCCTGGATCTTATCGGATCCAGGCAGTGATTAACCCAGAAAGAGATCTTGATGTCATGGTTGAGATCTCTGTTAAAATATCGACTCAGTGTGCCATAGCTGTGAACAAGTGAGATTCCAGGGGTCTTGGCGCTTTCCCAGAGTTTGTGTTTGCTTTGGGCACAGCAGAGACTTGTATTTTTGAACTATGGTTTATTTACATACATAAATACAACCTGAGTCGACAGTGGAGGGGTTCCCAGCATTCACATCTCAGTATTATTCTTGGCTCCTGTCTTAGGAGCAGCAGGAACTAGTCTTGTTGCCTGTCTTTGTTCCAGCCACCCCACCAGAAGCTCTGTAGGCCTCCCTTCTCCCCTGCTTTTCAAACCTTGCACAGATTTCCTTCAGCCTACGTTCAAGCTGAAACTTAAACCTTTTCCCTGCCCGCTAACATGCACAGCTGGAGGGAGAGTCCATTTGACCTTGTCTGGCCATCCCACCTTTTGATGGTTCATCATCAGCCTTTGTCCCCTGCTTAATGGTCCATTTTAGCAGCTATGCCAAGTTGGCCTGGGTTGTAGGCATAAATAAATCTAGGGGTTTTGGTGATTGGCACAGATTAATCAAGCTTTGATTAATTATAACACTAAATCAATGAATTTTGGGGATGATCTGGCACCCTGGAATTTGAATGAATCTGCATAACATCATGATAGTGGTTGCAGAGAGCTACCTCTCCTTAATAGGGACGTGGGTGGTGTTGTGGTCTAAACCACAGAGCCTAGGGCTTGCCGATCAGAAGGTTGGTGGTATGAATCCCCGTGACTGGGTGAGCTCCTGTTGCTCGGTCACTGCTCCTGCCAACCTAGCAGTTCGAAAGCACGTCAAAGTGCAAGTAGATAAATAGGTACCACTCCGGCGGGAAGGTAAACGGTGTTTCCGTGCGCTGCTCTGGTTCGCCAGAAGCGGCTTAGTCATGCTGGCCACATGACCCGGAAGCTGTACGCCGGCTCCCTCGGCCAGTAAAGCGAGATGAACGCCGCAACCCCAGAGTCGGCCACGACTGGACCTAACGGTCAGGGGTCCCTTTACCTCTCCTTAAAATGTGGAGGACCAGCTTTTATTTAGCACAGCTGATTCACCTAACTGCTGCCACCAAAACACTCCCCCCCCTTTTGGAATTTGAAGTATTAATAGAGCATTACATCATTGTCTTTTCACTTATAATTAGGTTGGCTTTTGCATTTTCTGAATCTAATTCAAACGTAAGAGGTGGCAGCTTGAGTTTTTACATAGGGCAGCCATGTTTTTTGTGCACCATTCAGTGATTGAGAGGGCCGCTTGCTCTGCTATATTCAAAGGGCAGAAGCAAGAAGCCCTGTGTGCTAGCCACTCGAGGCTGTGGGTAGCTGGATGAGCTATTTTGGAGTTCAGTCGTACCTTGGAAGTGGAATGGAGTCCATTCTGGAACTTGGTTCAACTTCCAAAACGTTTGGAAACCAAAGCGCGGCTTCCTGCAGCCAATCAAGCCGCAGAAGCCCCATCGGGCGTTCGGGTTCCAAAGAACATTCGCAAACCGGAACAATCACTTCTGGGTTTGTGACGTTAAGGGGCCAAAATGTCTGAGTACCAAGGCGTTTGGGATCCAAGGTACGACTGTATTGTAAAAAGCAAAAAAGAAACCTTAAAAACTTATCAGGGAGGCAGTTCTGCAACCCTCAGACAGCTTATAAAAGCATCCTCAGGACTGCGGATTTTTAAGAACTCAGGATTTGATGCAGGCAATGGTCTGCCTATTCAAATCTGGCGAGTTTTGCAGATTCTGCCTCCATCCTTCACTGGCTACAATTGCACTGCTTTCCATTGGCCATCATATAACTGCATTTAAAGAGTGATTCACCATCCGCAAGCTCATGCTCGATAAAGATAATGCTGGACCAGAGCGAAGCAGATAAGAAAGAAAGGAGGTGACATGGGGAACACAGCGCCAGTGAAGTGAAGGAAGGCACCCTTGTTTTAACTGAAATTCCAGTATTTTAACTCGGGCAATATATTTTTCTCTTTGTCCAAGGTTTTTACAGTGCAGGCATCCACATCTCTCTTCAATCTTTGCACAGTCCTGTAACATCTCTAGTGCTTGAGAGCATATTTTTAGGACCCACAGTAGTTGTGATTGTAATTTCTTTCTTAATGGCTTTATTGTATTTTAAATTACGACCACAACCTAGGACCTTGTGGGGAAAGGCAGGAAATGAACCTAATAATAGCAATAAATGCTGGAACCAGGAAATTTTAATACCGAACACTGGTCTTGGCCTACTATTTCTTACCTTTTGCTTTTTATATTTTAAATTAAATATTAACTTTGTGGGCAAAGAAAGACTAAGGTATCGGGAATAATACATATCTTCCTGTATTGCTCTCTGGGATACAATCGCTCTGAAGGAAAGCACTTTGATTTTCTTTCTTTAAAACATCCGTATTAGGCATCTGTAAAACATTTACATTCCTAGTTCTGGATCAAACTCTTTTTGTGCCTCATGTTACTTATTCCCTTCTTTAGCTAAAATGCTGTGTGGGATGTGTGGGGGGGGGGGAGTGTATTGCTCTCCTTTAACTTTTTAACATGTATAGTGATAGTATTATATTTCCCCCCTAACAGCAGTTCGTTTTAGAAATTAACAGATAATGGGCAACCAGCAGGGAGATGAAGACACTGTGTGGGATTATCTAAATTAAGTAGAATATTCCACATGATGTAATTGGGAAATTCATCATCGGAGGTCGCAGGGCTTGAATTCTTATTCAACAGAGTGGTCTGAAGATCTGTGCAGGAGTTTTGTCTCAATTAAATTTTCTCAGGCACTTAAAAGAGTGTCCGTTGAATGTCATCTAACTTAGGGAATGAGCAAACTTCAGGTTTGTAGAAGCGACTTTTGGGTTTTTTAATTGAACCCTGAGATCCGCCAAGTGGAGGCACGTACAAAAAGATACGTACCTAAAATGCCAAAAAATAATGAGAGCTCAGAAATTTGTTTTGAGCACCGGGGCTGAATGGAACTCACACAAAAAACCTCCACCACTCCTTCTTATCCCAAACTCTGCATTTCAGGGCAGCATAGAATAAGTATTTTGTTGTTGCTATTATTAAACCCTGTGCTGATCTACAAAAAATCCACAGATTTTTGCATAAAAAGGTAAAGGTACCCCTGCCCGTACGGGCCAGTCTTGACAGACTCTAGGGTTGTGCGCTCATCTCACTCTAGAGGCCGGGAGCCAGCGCTGTCCGCAGACACTTCCGGGTCACGTGGCCAGTGTGACGAAGCTGCTCTGGCGAACCGGCACCAGAGCAGCACACGGAAACGCCGTTTACCTTCCCGCTATAAAGCGGTACCTATTTATCTACTTGCACTTAAGGGTGCTTTCGAACTGCTAGGTGGGCAGGAGCTGGGACCGAACAACGGGAGCTCACCCCGCCGTGGGGATTCGAACCGCCGACCATGTGATCGGCAAGTCCTAGGCGCTGAGGTTTTACCCACAGCGCCACCCGCATCCCATTAAACCCTGTGCTGATCTACAAAAAATCCACAGATTTTTGCGTATTCTCTCTTATATATACACACACATACACAGAGAGAGAGAGAGATTGGCTGGAATTGAGTACATGCTTTCAGAGTTAATACTAAAGACATCTGATAAATCAGCCACCATAGCCTGAAAATTTGTGTCCGGAGCTTTTTAGACCCATCTACTCATGTAGAATCTGAAACCAAAGGGGCTCATTGGTTGCCTGATGTGAAATATATTGGCATTATTTTCAGCTCACCTGCCCCACTATCAGCTCATTCTGCCCTCCCCACTTCTGGTCCTAAGACATTGAATCCAACTGTTCACCTTTCCTGATGTTGCTGGTGGACATAACAATGCCCTCACCTTTCTTCACCCTGATGTCAAATTCTTCACATTAGGAATCATTCTGTATGGAAAATTATCTTGCGCTGGACATCCAAGCTGACGCTTCCTGATTTTCCAAATTCAATTACCATATTTTTCTGTGTATAAGATGTCCCCATGTATAAGACAACTCCTATTTTTTGAGCCCAAAATTAAGAAATATTTTAAACATTCCGTATTTAAGACAACCCCCAATTT